AATCTGTATTTTTTTCAGAATTTCTCTCCAATCTGACATTTCTTAATTTGTATACTAGACTAATATTTAGAGATAATAACTTGAATAATAATAATGAAATGCTACTGGTAATAACAGTGTAATAGTGAAGTTGCAGAGAAAAGCCTCCCCATGGGTATGCCCCCATAGGATGACAAAGCCCCCATCCACAGGGCACGAGTTGTCACTGAATGGTTTGATGAGCATGAAAACGATGTAAACCATATGCCATGGCCGTCTCAGTCCCCGGATCTCAACCCAATTGAACAATTATGGGAGATTTTGGAGCGGCGCCTGAGACAGTGTTTTCCACCACCATCAACAAAACACCAAATGATGGAATTTCTCATGGAAGAATGGTGTCGCATCCAACCAATAGAGTTCCAGACACTTGTAGAATCTATGCCAAAGTGCATTGAAGCTGTTCTGGCTCACCCTATTAAAGAGATTTCCAAAGCCCTATTTAAAGAGCATCTGTACTTTTGTAAACTTTTTAGCCAGTAGTGCTCATGAGCCAAAAGTGGTCCCAGAAAGTTGCGTACTACATCACATGCAGATATGTGCACCATGTCATTGCTCTCACTCTGCTGTGTGCATCTTGCTAGGTGTCACTCAAATGGCGAGGGGCTGAAGCTCATTGGCTAGAACTCAAATTGCTAGGGGTCTGGCCCACGTGGGGGAAAATCTAGGGAAAATGGCTAATTTTAGATAAGACAGTAATTCTGCTCATAGATTATGCATGTATGAACTACACATTGACACATCCAGCCCAAAGCGGGAGGTTTTAAAAATACTTAGTAGTTTCCAGGTTCAGGAGCATGTCTTTAAGACACTTTATGTTGGTGTTTCCTTTATTTTGGCAGTTAGCATTCAGAAAGTATTCAGACCCTTTGACTTTTTCCAAATTTTTTACTTTACAGCCTTATTCTAAAATCGATTAAATCGTTTTTCCCCCTCATCAATCTACACACAATAACCCATAATGACAAAGCAAAAACAGGTTTTTAGAAATTGTAGCAATTTTATTATAAATAAAAAACGGAAATATAACATTTACATAGGTATTCAGACCCTTTACTCAGTACTTTGTTGAAGCACCTTTGGCAGTGATTACAGCCTTGAGTCTTCTTGGGTATGATGCTACAAGCTTGGCACACCTGTATTTGGGGAGTTTCTCCCATCCTTCTCTGCAGATCCTCTTAAGCTCTGTCAGGTTGGATGGGGAGCGTCGCTGCACAGCTATTTTCAGGTCTCTTCAGAGATGTTCAATCAGGTTCAAGTCCCGGCTCTGGCTGGGCCACTCAAGGACATTCAGAGACTTGTCCCGAAGCCACTCCTGCGTTGTCTTGGCTGTTTGCTTAGGGTCGTTGTCCTGTTGGAAGGTGACCCTTCTCCCCAGTCTGAAGTCCTGAGCGCTCTGGAGCAGGTTTTCATCAAGGATCTCTCTGTACTTTGCTCTGTTCAACTTTCCCTCAATCCTGACTACTCTACCAGTCCCTGACGCTGTAAAACATCCCCACAGCATGATGCTGCCACCACCATGCTTCACCGTAGGGTTGGTGCCAGGTTTTCTCCAGATGGGACGCTTGGCATTCAGGCCAAAGAGTTCAATCTTGGTTTCATCAGACCAGAGAATCGTGTTTCTCATGGTCTGAGAGTCCTTTAGGTGCCTTTTGGCAAAGTCCAAGTGGGCTATCATGTGCCTTTTACTGAGGGAGTGGCTTCCGTCTGGCCACTCTACCGTATAGGCCCGATTGGTGGAGTGCTGCAGAGATGGTTGTCCATCTGGAAGGTTCTCCCATCTCCACAGAGGAACTCTGGAGCTCTGTCAGAGTGACAATAGGGTTCTTGGTCACCTCCCTGACCAAGGCCCTTCTCCCCCGATTGCTCAGTTTGGCCGGGCGGCCAGCTCTAGGAAGAGTCTTGGTGGTTCTAAACTTCTTCCATTTAAGACTGATGGAGGCCACTGTGTTCTTGGGGACCTTCAATGCTGCAGAAATGTTTTTGTACCCTTCCCCAGATCTGTGCCTCGACACAATCCTGTCTCTGAGCTCTACGGACAATTCCTTTGACCTCATGGCTTGGTTTCTGCTCTGACATGCACTGCCAACTGTGGGACCTTTTTATATAGACAGGTGTGTTCCTTTCCAAATAATGTCCAATCAATTTAATTTACCACAGGTGGACTACAATAAAGTTGTAGAAGCATCTCAAGGATGATCAATGGAAACAGGATGCACCTGATCTCAATTTCGAGTCTCCTAGCAAAGGGTCTGAATACTTATGTAAATTAGGTATTTCTGTTTATTTTTAATACATTTCCAAAAATGTCTAAACCAGTTTTCACTTTGCATTATAGGATATTTTGTGTAGATTGATGAGATTCTTATTTTTTAAATCCATTTTAGAATAAGGCTGTAATGTAACAAAATGTGGAAGAAGTCAAGGGGTCTGAATACTTTCCGAATGCACTGTGTGTGTATATAGAAAGGCACAGGTGTTTGCCTTTGGTCTACTGAAAGTCTCTCTTGTGTATCCCTTGCCTTGGCAAATTATACATTGTTTAGGCTGCCATATGGTCACCGTTCACTAGATTTGGGACATGAAATAGGCCTAAGCCACTAGCTACAACTGCTGCTCTCCATTTACAGTCTGTAATCTGACATGGCTGAGAACCTTTCAGTGCAATAACGTTACATCATTAGGGCTCATCTCTGTCATTGATGATTTGACCATCAGAGGGAAGATTGCTCCATGAGAACAGTTGTGGGTGGAACTATGAAATTACTTTACCAAAGTGAGATGTTGAAAGCTTCCATGCTTTTTCAGTTATATTTTGTACACCAACTTATTTATTAGTGGTTTAGACCTTAAGGTGTTTTCTGTTTCAGTTTAGCCACACTGTCTAACACGTCTGAAATGTGACATATAAGGCAAGGAAAGTCAATTGTGACAAATATTAACATTCTCTCATTGAGTCTGAGGCAGTAGCTCATTGTCCTTTCTGCAGATGATTCTCTCCCTGCCATATTCTAGAATGCTCATTACAAAACATGGGCATTAAGGCTACTTTGCAGAACTCCAGTATTCCAGCTGCCTTGTGCGACAGCAGGGAGGCTGCATTGATAAGAGGTGGTTGATATTAGGAATTTCCCTGGGGCTTTATGACGTTTGTTCACCCTGCTTCTGGCAAATGAATTCCTAACTGCAGGATATCCACCTGTCTCTCTCCAGGGAGATCAGTAACTCCCTTATGATTTCATCTGTTGTTTTCTCGTATAGGCATTAGACCTACCTGGAGTCCAAAGTCTGATGCTAAATCAGGTGGCAAGCCTTACTGTTTTGTGAGACTGGTATGATACTGCCAACAATAACCAGTAGCATTGGCCACGTTCAAGTGTTGTTCTGTCAGCTTGAAGAGGGTGTGGCCTGAGAGGAAGTATTCCTTACTCTTTTCTTCACTCTTGTTTGCTGTGGGTAACACCGGAGTCTGAGCTAGGTTAGTTGTCAACAGTGCAGGGAAATTGGAAACGGTCCATGCACATGACGTGTGTATGTTAAATGTTGAGCATGCTGCCTGCATATTCTCTCCACAATATGCATAGAGGCCAATTCTCTTCAGCCTTAAGTTTTGAATCAGAATAGGCCTAATGAATTTAGATAGCTAGCTTCCTCCCAGGAAATTCTGCTGACTGAAGTTATTTCTAGCCAAACATGTTCTGCCATGGATGTGGTAACAAACTGATTAAGGTCCTGGCCTGGGCAGTCTCCAGATTAGCCTAGTGCTCATAGCTTTATATGAGGCAGAAGGGTCTAGATGCGTGAGACATGGGGCAGGATACAGCCTCCTATAGCTGCTCTGGCCCTCTGACGCCATGAGCCAGGCTCTGCCCAGACACTAAAGCTGCTGCCTATCTAGGCAGTCCTGTCACACTGGAGCACCACACGCCCAAAGGTGACCAAAGACAAGGAAGTCATCTATTCCTTCCTCTGTGCCAACCTGCCTGACAGGGCTATTAATAGTCAGGGCAGGGAGAGATCAAGGCTGGTGCCACTGACTTCCACCACTCTCTGTACAGAATAATAAATCAGTGTTTACCCTAGTATTTCTTTCAGCAGCGGTGGTTACCAGTTAGCTGTTTTAAAGCTAATTTCCTGTAATTCTACAAATTCTTCCATGATTTATGCTGTGATCTTATGCCATCTGAGTGACTCAAACATTATAACCATATCAATGGGGGCCCCATGCCATTACATTTTTTTTAAAGTTTAGATTCTCCCTGACTGTCTAGTTTTTATTTAGGTAGTTGTTAGTTCTCAAAGATTCTTATTTAAGAAATATATAGCTCCATTATCTTTTCTACATACTTTGTTTTTTTGGATTGGAGGCCATGATTTAGCAGCAGCGGGCTACCGCTGCTAAATTAATATAGCGGAAACACTGATCAATGCACTAGGGCATAAGTCTGTCTGTGGAACCTCATTTGCCCTGTGTCAGGTCAAAACACATCTACTTCCAAGTGTTCTCAAGGCTACACCCTTCACCTTTGCTGAATTTATTTGCATCCAACAGGCTCTCTTTGCAAACATGCTTGTGGTTATCTAGGGATAGACTACATTGCAGCAACAGTGCAGATTAGGCTATATGGATTTTTCAAATTGGGTAGGCTAATCTTTTATAAAACAGTTGATCATCAGTTTTATATAGCCGGCCAATCAATAAACTATGCAGCCACACCGTTCAACGTTAATGAAAGAAATGGCAACTTCCTGTTTTCAACTCATTCAACAGTATAAACTAGCCACATAAAATAAGGCTGTTATGAAGGAGATTACGCCGAAACGTAAATCTCTTTTGTAGGTCTCGTGAATAAATGATCAGGTCTCTGCTGAAACAGTGCTCCTTCTTTTTTTATTTTCCTGGATCGTCACCTGTTGTAGTGTCCTGGGGTAAGGGATGTTGTTTTAGCCACATAACTGCTATGTCTCTGTCTCTGAACCTGCAGAACAGCCGGACGGACCCTGAGGAGCTGTTCACCAAGCTGGAGCGTATTGGGAAGGGCTCCTTCGGCGAGGTGTTCAAGGGCATAGACAACCGCACCCAGAATGTGGTGGCCATCAAGACCATTGACCTGGAGGAGGCTGAGGATGAGATCGAGGACATCCAGCAGGAGATCACCGTGCTCAGCCAGTGTGACAGCCCCTACGTAACCAAGTACTACGGCTCCTACCTCAAGGTAACACACACTGCAGTCGTTCCACCTCAAAAAGCACAAGAAAGAGGATTGACACCCACCATCTCAGATTGTTCTGAAATCGTTTCTGTAGTTAGAAACAAGATGAGCATTCCTGAAAGATTTGGTTGAAATATAATCTGAGAAATTAAGCAAATAGATTGCACCCAAATTGGCCATTTCTAAATATAGTACCTTACATCCGATTTGGATCATAATTTTTCCTAACAATGAGTAAGACATGATGAATCCAATAAAATGATCAAAAGTCACCCACAGACCCCCAACACCCCATGCCAATCCCACCACAACAACCAGTATAAAGTATCAGTTCTTTGTCTGACAGGTAGTATGGAGCTGTGGCTTGGAGTATTACTTTTTTATCCTATGTGTTTTCTGTAAGTATATGGAGTATCCAGCCAAAAAATAGCCGAAATACACAGCTAAATTATTGAATACTTTAATGACTTTACATCCTAGATTGGTAAAATGAGTTGTGGTATTGAGTAGAAAACACGACTTTACAATTAAAATGACTGAAAATGTATGAATTCAGTGTGTTAGTTGTTTTGGATATCGTGTGGGCCTAGGCCTATATGATCAGGACTATCTTCTAAGTAAGAGAATATTAAACCTTTTGTTTTACATTTAACCTGTCTTCTCTTGAGATTAAAGTCATATTTACAGTTTTACCTCAAGATATGAATTGCCACAATGATGTTTGTTCTTCAAATTATGTATTTTATTTGCTCTGCTGCTGTGGACACTTAGGGTAAGGAAACCAATGTCATTTTGTAATTTGGGTGAACTATCCCTTTAACAGTTTGGCCTATCAATCAATGTGGGTGGGATTGTCAGGGGAGGGGGCAGGATGTTTTAGTCACAGAGTTGGTAGGGTTTCAGACCTGTCAATCAATCACTGTGAGTGGGACTTTGAGGGAAGGCAGTAGATTAGTAATCTACTCAGAAAAAGGAGTCTAGTCTACTCTTTAAATATACTTTGTGGCAAAAACATAAGAAAAAAAAGGTTGTGTTCTGTCAAGTAAACATGGATTCCCTGTTGAGAATCAATATAGAATAGCATATTGTAGCACAACATTTCAGGGGGAGGGAGTAGGGCTGTGGCGGTCATGACATTTTGTCAGCTGGTGATTGTCAAGCAAAAAACTGCCGGTCTCACGGTAATTGACCGTTAATTAACATAAACACATTTAGCATCTCCTGGCTTCCACGCATAGCCTACAAGCCACTGATGCAGACCTTTGGAACATCTACAATTAAATCCATGTAATAAATCCATGTAATATAGCCTACACCATCACAATAAATCCATTATTTATTTTAGACAGGGCTAAAGAAACATGATATGAAGAAAATGTAGTCTATTTCAGAAGAACAGAATAGCATACTCTGAGTTGTCCTTATGTTAGGCCCTGATCTGGCTATGCCATATGGCTGTGGGCTACAGTAGATTATTTAACAGACAAGATTTGCTTAGAATTCCATGGCATTATTTTATAGTATGAAGAATACAATTGAACATAGCTGAATAAAATAGAAATGCTATTTTCTCCAAACAATTTGAGGGAGTGTGCACATGTAGCTATTCTGTGTTGAGCGTTTAACAAAGAAACAGGTACTCCTATATGCTTAATTTAGAGTTATTTATGTAACTTTAGTTGTGATACAAATGTTGGGCTATATGTTTAGATTTTTAATACATTCTAAGGCTGCATGATGCGACTAATGATGATTTGAAAAAAGTCGCATGAAAGGCATGAGCTCTGCTTTGTTTTTTGCGCCGGTTGTACACACTTCATCAGTCTCTCATTCACAATTTGACAAGCACTTGCTAATGCCTCAAAATTCCCGGCGGCATCCCATTTGTGTAGCCGTAATGCCCCCTAATAAAATCCATGCCCTTCCCCCGGCTGTGTGCTCCGAAGCACCTCTCACTCACATGGCTCTCTGTCACGTGATCGGGTCTTTCTCACAGAGACATCGGGAACGCAACTGTGCGTGTCCTTATCCAATTCCGTGGCGCATATTTAAGATATGGGAAGAACTGTCCACATTTTACTTTTCGTCAGCCAACAAGATGAGTAGGCCTAACGAACAGCAAAAACCTAGCCTATGTCCATATACAATCCCCCATAGTACAAAAGTTGACCTATTCTGTGCAATAAATAAATATTCCAAACATAGTCTGGGACAGTTGTGGGATGCGATACATCCCAAATTAATACAACCACTAGCATCAAAAAACATTTTTTAAGCAATGAGGCTGACGCAACAAATCAGAACGTTTTGCTTAAAATGTTGATAAACTATTAGGCTATTTCTTCACATTATTATAAGCGCAGCAATACACACGGCAGTAGGCTATAAGCGCGAATATTCCATTAGCGGGAAAACAGCATTCTCAAAAGTGACCGCAAATGCGATTATGCATGTAATGAAGTTCATAATAAAGGTGCATTTATTATGGTGAAAATGATCTTCCCCAAACTGAAACTCACGCGCTGCATATGTCTGCCAGTTAGGCTCTACATCTGTTGTAAAGCAGATTAATGTGCTTAATTTTAAGAAGTAATTTGGCCACTTTAGTTGTGATACAAACCTCATCAAAGCATATACAGTTGAAGTCTGAAGTTTAAATACACTTAGGTTGGAGTCATTAAAACTAGTTTTTCAACCACTCCACACATTTCTTGTTAACAAACTATAGTTTTGGCAAGTCGGTTAGGACATCTACTTTGTAATTTTTCCAACAATTGTTTACAGACAGATTATTTCACTTATAATTCACTGTATCACAATTCGAGGGTCAGATGTTTCCATACACTAAGTTGACTGTGCCTTTAAACAGCTTGGAAAATTCCAGAAAATGATGTCATGGCTTTAGAAGCTTCTGATAAGCTAATTTACATAATTTGAGTCAATTGGAGGTGTACCTGTGGATGTATTTCAAGGCCTACGTTCAAACTCAGTGCCTCTTTGCTTGACATCATGGGAAAATCAAAAGAAACAACCAAGACCTCAGGAAAAAAAAATGTAGACCTCCACAAGTCTGGTTCATCCTTGGGAGCAATTTTCAAACGCCTGAAGGTACCACGTTCATCTGTACAAACAATAGTACGCAAGTATAAACACCATGGGACCACGCAGCCGTCATACCGCTCAGGAAGGGGATGCGTTCTGTCTCCTAGAGATGAACGTACTTTGGTGCGAAAAGTGCAAATCAATCCCAGAACAACAGCAAAGGACCTTGTGAAGATGCTGGAGGAAACAGGTAGAAAAGTATCTATATCCACAGTAAAACGAGTCCTATATCGACATAACCTGAAAGGCCGCTCAGCAAGGAAGAAGCCTCTGCTCCAAAACCGCCTTAAAAAAGCCAGACTACGGTTTGTAACTGCACATGGGGACAAAGATTGTACTTTCTGGAGAAATGTCCTCTGGTCTGATGAAACAAATATAGAACTGTTTGGCCACAATGACCATCGTTATGTTTGGAGGAAAAAGGGGGATGCTTGCAAGCCGAAGAACACCATCCCAACCGTGAAGCACGGGGGTGGCAGCATCATGCTGTGGGGGTGCTCTGCTGCATGAGGGACTGGTGCACTTCACAAAATAGATGGCATCATGAGGAAGGAAAATTATGTGGATATATTGAAGCAACATCTCAAGAAATCAGTCATGAAGTTCAAGTTTGGTCGCAAGTGGGTCTTCCAAATAGACAATGACCCCAAGCATACTTCAAAGGTTGTGGCAAAATGGCTTAAGGACAACGAAGTCAAGGTATTGGAGTGGACATCACAAAGCCCTGACCTCAATCCTATAGAACATTTGTTAGCAGAACTGAAAAAGCGTGTGCGAGCAAGGAGGCCAACGAACCTGACTCAGTTACACCAGCTCTGTCAGGAGGAATGGGCCAAAATTCACCCAGCTTATTGTGGGAAGCTTGTGGAAGGCTACCTGAAACGTTTGACCGAAGTTAAACAATTTTAAAGGCAATGCTACCAAATACTAATTGAGTGTATGTAAACTTCTGACCCACTGGGAATGTGATGAAAGAAATAAAAGCTGAAATAAATCATTCGCTCTACTATTATTCTGACATTTCACGTTCTTAAAATAAAGTGGTGATCCTAACTGACCTAAGACAGGGAATTTTTACTAGGATTAAATGTCAGGAATTGTGAAAAACTGAGTTTAAATGTATTTGGCTAAGGTGTATGTAAACTTCCGACTTCAACTGTAGGCCTATGGGCTAGGCTACATTAGGTGTGGGACTCTGATTTTGAAAAAGTCGCAAAAAAGGCATGCACTGTTTCTTGCCTTACCGCACACAAGCTGGGCATCATTCACAAGTGATAATATACAGTGCATTCGGAAAGTATTCAGACCCCTTGACCTTTTCCACATTTTGTTACGTTACAGCCTTATTCTAAAATGGATTAAATACCTTTTCCCCCTCATCAATCTACACACACTACCCCATAATGACAAAGCGAAAACTGTTTTTTAGACATTTTTGCAAAAAATAAATACAGAAATGCCTTATTTACATAAGTATTCAGACCCTTTGCTATGAGACTCGAAATTGAGCTCAGGTGCATCCTGTTTCCATTGATCATCCTTGAGATGTTTCTGCAACTTGATTGGAGTCAAATTCAATTGATTGGACATGATTTGGAAAGGCACACACCTGTCTATATAAGGTCCCACAGTTGACCGTGCCTGTCAGAGCAAAAACCAAGCCATCAGTTTGACGGAATTGTCTGTAGAGCTCCGAGACAGGATTGCTTCGAGGCACAGATCTGGGGAAGGGTACCAAATAATGTCTGCAGCATTGAAGGTCCCCAAGAACACAGTGGCCTCCATCATTCTTAAATAGAAGAAGTTTGGAACCACCAAGACTCCTCCTAGAGCTGGCCGCCCGGCCAAACTGAGCAATCGGGGGAGAAGGGCCTTGGTCAGGGAGGTGACCAAGAACCCGATGGTCACTCTGACAGAGCTCCAGAGTTCCACTGTGGCGATGGGAGAACCTTCCAGAAGGACAACCATCTCTGCAGCACTCCACTAATCAGGCCTTTATGGTAGAGTGGCCAGACGGAAGCCACTCCCTCAGTAAAAGGCACATGACAGCCGGTTTGGTGTTTGCCAAAAGGCACCTAAAGGACTCTGACCTTAAGAAACAAGATTATCTGGTCTGATGAAACCAAGATTGAACATTTTGGCCTGAATGCTACATCAGCAGCATCAGAGCTTGGAGAAGCCTAATTACCGTGACTAAACTTTCACGTGGAATTTGACTGCTGTCATGACTCGTGACCGCCGGTGTGGCAGTAATACGGTTACCGTAACAGCCCTAGGAGGGAGTCTAGTCTACTCTTTCAATTTAATTTATTGTGGCAAAAACCTAAGAAAAACTGTTGTTTTCTGTGAAGTAAACATGGGTTCCCTGTTGAGAATCAATATAGAATAGCATATTGACTCACAAATATCATATGGGGGGGGGGAATCACCAGATTCACAGGGAATACGTTACATAGGATAAAGAAGCAATACTCCAAGCCCAACTCCATACTACTTGTCAGTCATAGAGAACTGATACTGTATACTGGTTGTTGGGGTGGGTGGCTTAGACCATTGTATTGCATTCCTCATATCTTACTCATTGGTGGGAAGAATTTTGGTTTAGATCAGATGTTGGGTACTATATTTATTGAATATTATGTGAACCCTAAAAATTCAAATGGCCAATTTGGGTGCAATCAATTAACTTAATTTCTCAGCGATCAAATTACTACATTACTAAAGCTTTGTTTCAAGTTGTGAGTGTATACAGCTACAATTCAAAATGAGGTGTTAATGTCTGTTCCTTAAACGGTAACGGCTCTGTCCGTACCATAGAAATACACAGTGTCACTTAACAGAAGAACCCTCTTTGTTACAATACCTGTATTTCTAGAAGAGAGGGAGCTGTGACTCACCCCTGGTTTGCCAGGGCCTTGAAATGTTTGCTGAGAGCGGTGTGGCGTGATGAATGTCAGCTTTTCCATCTTTCGCTCTGAGTATGCTCTTGTTCTGCAGCCCACCTTCTCCCTCGTGCCTCAGTCTGGAGCATAGTGTGAATATATGGGTCAGTTTGGGAGTCTTATTGGATGATATCCAATATGTTAGTGAAGTGGAAAACTCCCAGGCTTCACACGTTGGTACTTGGCAGGGACTTTGTGTATCTGGGCTTGGGTAGAGGGCATTGGTGAGGTTGCCACATACAGTAGGTTCTTTCTATTTGCACATAAAATACATTCTGCATGGAAAACATGTTCACAGCCATGTGTAGCTCCTAGATGAGGTTTAAATTAAAATCATCGGAGTGGCTGCGGATCTGACTTTTCTGGACCCCTATTCCCGGAAGCTGAAGGTCCCGAAGCTTCTGCGCATGTGTGGAATTCTCTACTTATACACACAGTCTCTGCTTTACTCGTAGAGAACAGGCTACTCTGGCGAATGGTGCTCATTTAATAAAGTTAAATCAAATGTTTGCAAGATCATATAACGATAGTATTGTACATAAGAGAACCAAATATAATAGCATAGTATAACGTTACTGTAAGACAAAAAACACCACCTCATGTATTATGAGATTTTAGGATGATTGTGCAAATGGTCTTATTTTTCTCTCATGTGGCCACAACTGAACAGCTTAACTAAGAAGATTTAAATGCATATCCCCATGAAACTGATTGGGATCAAATGGTTGGCATGCAGATGCTGCATGGACATTTCACCTGTAAAACTTTAAGAATGATAATGAATGATTGACAGTGAGAAATATGAAGGGTGGGTGACCACAAAAACGTGTACTTAAGAAGGCTAGAGGTAAAGAAACACGTGCAGAACATGATACAGATCTTTCCGGGGGTGGTTACCTACGGCTCCACAGCCTCGGCCTAAAATCATTTCTAATGGTTCCCTCTTTTCTACCTATCTGTGTACAGGGCAGTAAGCTATGGATCATTATGGAGTACCTTGGTGGTGGCTCAGCTCTGGACCTGGTAAGAGTTAGAATACGATATGTGAATGTTTCTTACAATGTCTGTTGGTGGGTTTGCGTATGTGTGTTCACTGTATATGTCTTGTGTCTAGCTGCGAGCAGGGCCATTTGATGAGTTTCAGATTGCGACCATGTTGAAGGAGATCTTGAAGGGCCTGGACTACCTCCACTCCGAGAGGAAGATTCACAGGGACATCAAAGGTGTGTGTAGAATATCTTTCACAGAGACGAGCTGCAGTATTACAGGGTTAATATATCAGGTAGTCAGAGACGAGCTGCAGTATTACAGGGTTAATATATCAGGTAGTCAGAGACGAGCTGCAGTATTACAGGGTTAATATATCAGGTAGTCAGAGACGAGCTGCAGTATTACAGGGTTTATATATCAGGTAGTCAGAGACGAGCTGCAGTATTACAGGGTTAATATATCAGGTAGTCAGAGACGAGCTGCAGTATTACAGGGTTAATATATCAGGTAGTCAGAGACGAGCTGCAGTATTACAGGGTTAATATATCAGGTAGTCAGAGACGAGCTGCAGTATTACAGGGTTAATATATCAGGTAGTCAGAGACGAGCTGCAGTATCACAGGGTTAATATATCAGGTAGTCAGAGACGAGCTGCAGTATTACAGGGTTAATATATCAGGTAGTCAGAGACGAGCTGCAGTATTACAGGGTTAATATATCAGGTAGTCAGAGACGAGCTGCAGTATTACAGGGTTAATATATCAGGTAGTCAGAGACGAGCTGCAGTATTACAGGGTTAATATATCAGGTAGTCAGAGACGAGCTGCAGTATTACAGGGTTAATATATCAGGTAGTCAGAGACGAGCTGCAGTATTACAGGGTTAATATATCAGGTAGTCAGAGACGAGCTGCAGTATTACAGGGTTAATATATCAGGTAGTCAGAGACGAGCTGCAGTATTACAGGGTTAATATATCAGGTAGTCAGAGACGAGCTGCAGTATTACAGGGTTAATATATCAGGTAGTCAGAGACGAGCTGCAGTATTACAGGGTTAATATATCAGGTAGTCAGAGACGAGCTGCAGTATCACAGGGTTAATATATCAGGTAGTCAGAGACGAGCTGCAGTATTACAGGGTTAATATATCAGGTAGTCAGAGACGAGCTGCAGTATTACAGGGTTAATATATCAGGTAGTCAGAGACGAGCTGCAGTATTACAGGGTTAATATATCAGGTAGTCAGAGACGAGCTGCAGTATTACAGGGTTAATATATCAGGTAGTCAGAGACGAGCTGCAGTATTACAGGGTTAATATATCAGGTAGTCAGAGACGAGCTGCAGTATTACAGGGTTAATATATCAGGTAGTCAGAGACGAGCTGCAGTATTACAGGGTTAATATATCAGGTAGTCAGAGACGAGCTGCAGTATTACAGGGTTAATATATCAGGTAGTCTAGCTCTTGTGCCAGTAGTGTGTCATGTATTGATTTCACTCATTGATGTTGTCATCATGGTTGTGTGTTTGGTTTGGCAGCGGCCAACGTGCTCCTGTCAGAGTGTGGCGAAGTGAAGCTGGCAGACTTTGGCGTGGCGGGCCAGCTGACAGACACCCAGATCAAACGGGAGACGTTCGTGGGCACGCCCTTCTGGATGGCCCCTGAGGTTATCCAACAGTCTGCCTACGACTCCAAGGTTACCAGCTTTCTGTTCTCTTCTGTGTTTAGTGGAGGGCACTTGAGTTGAAGGCTTTTCCTCTTTTTATGACATAAACATGCTGTCAAATCCCACAAACTTACTTCACATAATCCCAGTCCCTCCCTAACACACACTCACCCTCCTCCAGGCTGATATCTGGTCTCTGGGCATCACTGCCATTGAGCTGGCCAAGGGTGAGCCTCCCAACTCAGACATGCACCCCATGCGGGTCCTGTTCCTCATACCAAAGAACACCCCACCCACCCTCAGCGGAGACTTCTCCAAGACCTTCAAAGAGTTTATAGACTCCTGCCTCAACAAAGACCCTTCATTTGTAAGTACAATGCCTGAGGACTTTGTCTTTATTTCTCGTTCCATTACTTGACTATCTTGCATTATTTAATGGTAGTCCATATAGTCGTTGTTGGTTAGCCTGCCTTTAATTGTGGGCCAATTTCCCCCTTTTATAGAGGCCAACAGCTAAGGAGCTTCTGAAGCACAAGTTCATAGTGAAGAATGCCAAGAAGACGTCCTTCCTCACTGAGCTGATAGACAGGTTGAAACGCTGGAAGGCTGAGGGACACAGTGACGGAGACTCCAGCTCTGACGACTCTGACTCGTGAGTAGTGAAGGCTCTAAACATTGTACCCCTTACTGACAGTTGGTAAAGATCTGAGACCCTGTCTGAACTACAGTAACATTAAACCTGTGGATAATCCTATCTGTTGTCTGACTCCAGGGAGTCCAGCAACAAGGAGAATGACTCGTCCCAGCCAGGCTGGTCCTTTACTACTGTTCGCAAGAAGAAAGACCCTAAGGTGTCCAATGGAATGGTGAGTTGGCCTGAGTGGGAGGACCAGGAAGAGAATGTAACTACAATGTTAGTTGTGTGATTAGTGGGCTAATACAAACAGTTGTGTCTAATGTTCTCCTCTGCTCTCCATTTGATGACAGGACCAAGACCTCCTGAAGAAGTCTGCCAGCTTGACCACACTGATCGCCCCGGTATTCACTGAGGTAGGGACTCTACATCAGCGCTCTTTTATAACAGTTGTAAAAAGTAGTTAAGTAATCTATATTGTTTTGTCTTTCTGTCTATCCATTTCCACCGCTCTTAGCTGAAGCTGCAGCGCAGGGATGGAGAGATAAAGGGAGTGATAGAGGAGCTGGAGAAAAGCCTCCACCTGGCTGAGGACATCTGCCCTGGAGTCACAGACAAGATGGTCAACCGGATCATCGACAAGTTCCAGAGGTGAGTTCGGGAACAGCAGGGGAGTACGAGGGGAGGGGGGGGGAACTAGAGGTAGTGATGTAGACTAGAGGATTGGCTGGGTGGTTGGTAGAAGTAGTGATGTAGACTAGAGGATTGGCTGGGTGGTTGGTAGAAGTAGTGATGTAGTGATGTAGACTAGAGGATTGGCTGGGTGGTTGGTAGAAATAGTGATGTAGACTAGAGGATTGGCTGGGTGGTTGGTAGAGGTAGTGATGTAGACTAGAGGATTGGCTGGGTGGTTGGTAGAAGTAGTGACGTAGACTAGAGGATTGGCTGGGTGGTTGGTAGAAGTAGTGATGTAGACTAGAGGATTGGCTGGGTGGTTGGTAGAAGTAGTGATGTAGACTAGAGGATTGGCTGGGTGGTTGGTAGAAGTAGTGATGTAGACTAGAGGATTGGCTGGGTGGTTGGTAGAAGTAGTGACGTAGACTAGAGGATTGGCTGGGTGGTTGGTAGAAGTAGTGATGTAGACTAGAGGATTGGCTGGTAGAAGTAGTGACGTAGACTAGAGGATTGGCTGGATGGTTGGTAGAAGTAGTGATGTAGACTAGAGGATTGGCTGGGTGGTTGGTAGAAGTAGTGATGTAGACTAGAGGATTGGCTGGGTGGTTGGTAGAAGTAGTGACGTAGTGACGTAGACTAGAGGATTGGCTGGGTGGTTGGTAGAAGTAGTGATGTAGACTAGAGGATTGGCTGGGTGGTTGGTAGAAGTAGTGATGTAGACTAGAAGATTGGCTGGGTGGTTGGTAGAAGTGGATTACATGTTACAATTTGGATCAGGTGGCCTTCAACTGTGTTTTTCCTGTGGACTTTCCCATCAGATTTTCTGTGAGTTAGTGGCATGTGGAGGGCAGGTTTAGACGCTTGATGAGGACCACGCCTCCAGAGTGCATCATCAGCCTCTATGCCTTTTCCATCATCCCCCCATTCCTTTTCCCATCATCCTCCATGCCTCTCCTCTGATCAGCTCCCCCAGGACCATTGGATGCAGGGAAAGAGGGAGGACTCCTGCTGTGCACACTCACTGATCTTATAACCAAAAAAGGATTTTTTTTTAAATGTATATTTGTTGAAATATGTTTATGCTATTTTATTTAACCCCTTTTAAAAGTAGGCTCAAGCTGGTGCCCAAAGCAGAGCGTGTTACTGTTATAGTAGCCAATAGTATTTTAGTTTAGTAATATTTTAAGTTTTTTTTCTTTTCTTTTTTTTTATATAAGGATGTAACATCAATCTTCTGCTGAGCATAAGACATCTACTTAAGTCGGATATTAAGGATAGTTTACTGCTACTAAAAATGTTGAAGTAGCTATATTTTAGATGTTCAGTGTACTGCACTTGTTTCTGATGTCTAGCTTACCATCTTCATAATGTCACTTGTAGCATTTAGAAACCTGCTGTTTGGAGAACTGCATATCTAGTCAAACCACAGGAGTTCAATACCTCTGCTGAGAGCAGTCCGTGGGTGGGGAAAGGCTCAGACCAGTGAATGTCCATAGAATGGAAACTTCTGTTCGGTGATAATTGGAAAGGGGTCGCTTGTTTGGGCATTAGGAAAGATTGTACAGGAAATGGGAGGACTTTGCTGCGCAAAAGATGTATCATGCTCTCTCATTCCAAAAGATACAAATCATATCTATCTTATGGGATCTTAGCTCTATAAGGGCAATCCCATTGGAGCCTTTGGAGATCCACTTCTGAAGGAAATATGCACTGCACACACTTTGACGGGGGTGGAGCTTTTTCTAAATATGCTTGCTAGTTATTTCCCTACTTAGACTAGATCTCAAGGGAGATGGGGTACTTTTCTGTCTTAAAGACACTATGCTCTCCCTCTACCAAAAATACTTGACAAGTGCGCAAGTGAAATGGCAATGTCGGTATTGTGGACGTGTAATGTTTGAAACATTGGTCTGAGTCCTTGAGGACTCTACGTGGAGTCACGTCTCTTTGAACAAATCCCAAATAAAGATTTTCTTGAATTTTATCAGCCAAGCTCAGACACCTACAAAAGGGTGCCATCTTTGGTGTGGTGGTGACAGAGCCCCTTTTGGAAGGGAGGAAGTATGCCAACTAAACATCCAATGGTGCCTAAAACTTAATTGTAGTGATATTCTCTATTTAATTGTGGTCATGTATCATCGAATGCATTAAATATTAATAATACATTTTGCCAGAGTGTTTCAAGTTTGTGAAGGCAATAAGGCATTTGATCATTGCATATTTTTGTATTTCCTCATAAATGACATGCAGATGGAAAACAAGATTTTTTTTATATTTCTGTATCTGAACTTTATAAAATAAACTGTTGACTTAGCTTTACAGGAAGCTGTCAAATGTATATATTGGATAGTCTCTTTCAATCGTTACAAAATTCATTTTGGTTTGGTCTTGAAAATAAATATTTAAATTATGAATTCCTGTGTTTCTTTTATTGAATTTGTCAGTCCATAAAAATACATGTAATTGCATCAGTATCTTTCAACGGCAGTATGGTGGACAAATCTACAGTATTACTATTTGTTTCTGTAGTCGGTCCACTTTTCCTGTTGTGTGCAGCTAAGCAGTTCACAGAAATAAGTCCTTATTCTTTCCACAATCCTTGCAGTCTTTGGAACCAATGTCTATGTGCAGAAACCCCATTTTCAAAAGACTGTTTCATTAGGAACATTCCAATAACAGTTGGACTGTTGACAGTGAGGTGAGACCAGTACAGTAGCCTATAGGATCCATCCAAATCCATCTGAGATATTAAGACTCAGGGAAGCGGGGCTATTTGTCTTTCATCTGTGTACTCCTCATCTTATGTGCTGCAACAAGGAATTGTTGCAAGTAATTCAATTTGTTAATGTAAAGTCTATTCCCAAAAATGTTATTTGTCTGACAGGGCTTCTTCAAGGCATACTTATAATGAAGTCTGGTCCATCAGTTTGGCGTGTCTTTCATGCCTTCATCTTCAAATATGACCAGTGACCGGAACCATCAGGGCCTGTGGGAATGACTCTGAAGACTTGGGGTGTGGTCACAAAAGCCCTTTTTAGAGATTTATTGGGTCAGGATGACTTCCCATTGTGGCCACAGGCCCACCAAAGAGAATGCGCTTTGATTGGCTAGGGATAGCAATGGGGTTGTCACAGTAAGAGTACTAACGCTCTGATTGGCTCATGACCGCTTTGTTGCTGCAGTGCCTTCAGGGTCACTTAAGTTGAAGGAGTCTTCCTCCCCCTCGTCCAGCTGCAGACTACCAGATGAAATGCGCATTCGAGCCAGGGGGCCAGAGCGCACCAGTTTCCCTAGCCCTGGGCAGTAGTATGGGAACATGACGTCTGAGTCACTGAGGCTGATCTCTCCACTCCCTGTCCTGCTCCCGGCCCCCAGCACGCACACAGAGGCGGGCTGTTCAGACATAAGGGACAGGTTAAGAGGGAGGTGTGTTGGGCGTGCAGGCGAGTGTCGTCGTGATAGGTGAGGGTAGTGACCTAGAGGGCGGAACTCTGCTGCTGGGGCGGAGGGCCGGAGGACCTTCATATCAGACTGGCTCCAGGAGCGCTTGGGCAGGCCTGCCTGGTAGCTGGAGTCATCACTGAAGTGGCCTGCCGTCTCTTCTCTGCCAAACTCCCTCCGACCAGCCCCACATCCAGCCAAAGTGGCAGCATACAGCCCCGGAGCAATGGCCATGCCTGGAGGCCCGTTGTAGCGATGACGCTGGCGCCGCAGACAGGGAGACAATGAGGAGGGGCTGGAGAAACTGGAGGAGCGGATGAAGTCGTCTAGCAGGGCGGCCTGGGGAGCGGGCCGGGGGCCGTAGTGGGACAGAGGCAGTGGGGCTGGAGCGTGGTCCAAGGAGAAAGAGGAGCAGCCAGACATATAGGCCTGAGCAGAGAGGGGCAGGACGGGGTGCAGCTCCAGGCAGGGGTAGGGGTAAAGGTGGGCGTGAGGGCTGGGGTAGAGCAGGACCAGCTGCTGTGTATTGGCCAGCAGTCGGCCCCTCTGAGGCCCCTCAGCCACTCTGCTGCTGCGGTTGAAGCTCTGTCTGGCTCTGAGGGTGGCCCCCTCACTGTGGCCCCGCAGCCCCTCGGGCCCCTGTAGCGCTGTGGGCCCTGGCTCAGCCCCAGAGAAGGAAGAGGAGCGGGACTGGGCGAATGCAGAGGTGTGGGCAGAGTGGGGCTGGAGGCCCTCCAGATCCATAGTGGTGAACAGCACCTCCACAGCAGACTGACTGCGCTTCCCACCCGGGGCACAGCCGGCATGGGGGAACCCACAGGTCTGCTCATACACCTGGAACACACACACACACCCTGATATCACTGACAGCAGGGGTGCAACTTTCACCATTGTACATGACCCCCCACCCCACACACATTCTGAAATAGCATTTTTGTTTTATCATTGCTCTCTGATACAAAATGCGACACCGGTGTGCTTTAGGACCATGCAGACGCCTTAGAGCGTTGGGTAGGCTATTTTCCGGTTTCAGCCGGCTGCTCTGTGGACAGGCTGTGTGAAGGCAAAGCTTCTGAAAGGCTGCCGTATAGGACCAGCACGGAGAGATAACAGAGGCAGCTGCTGTCTGTTGCGCTTTTTCTCAGAGTTTTATAAGCAAGCAGAGCAGAAACTGGCTACTCTTTAGTTGACTGATCTAGCTGGCAAGGTATTTATTCCCAGTGCTGAGCTAGTAGTGTAACTGACATGTTACGTTAGCTAATGTTTCATCCCCTCTCGACTGAAGTTAATGAATTACTATTATTATTATATTATTATTATTATTATTATTATTAATTACTAGCAGCTAGTTAGCTAGCTAGTAGCTACCACAGCCAGTTCAGCTCTAGCTAGCCTCTAACTATCTGTCAGGTAGCAGTATTTAACAGCTGTTGTGTGTATGGAAATGTTTTGTAGCCTTTGTTTTGTCCCGTTTCAACAGAAGTCAATTTGATGATGTACCATTAGCTACAGCTAGCCAAAAGTTGGCTAACGTTAGCTAGCTTGCTAGCACACTAACTTTTACTATTATTTTTGCCTCAATCACATTACACCTGAATCAAATGATGAAACCAGCCAAATGATTGAAGACCAATATTCTGATGTTTTTTCAGCGCAATGTGAGTTTTTATTAGTCAGTATAGCAATGTAACGTTGTTGATCTGTCAGTGTCCCTAGCTAATTCCCTACTTTTCACACTGACACGGTATAAACAGCTCTACAGGCTTCACTGTCATGGTGCACAGTCAGTACACAACACTATGGTGACAAGTGTCCCTGCAGGGTCAGACAGCCAGGGAAGACCAGTCTACGGAGCTCAAATGAATTTTGCAGTATATTATAACAATCAGGGAATGGATACAAAGTTCCATCTTGAGTTGATGGGTAGGCTACAGTCTGAGATCTGGAAATAATGGTTATTTCAATGATTGAACCATTGATTATTTTAATGGGTAATATAATGTATAAATGTACACGAAGGTAATTCTTTGTCATGCCTCATCTGAGCAGGATCAGATGGTGACGGTCTCATCAGGGTCAGGCAGCCAGGGAAGACAGTTGACTTTATTATCACTTTATTCTCTCTGTGCAGCAAACACTGGACAAGCAAAAAGCTTCAAAGATTGAAACTATTTTAAGGCAGTCTGACAAACCTCTAAAGTGGATTTCCAAACTGTATCAAGGGTTGATAGAGGCTTTTCCCGATGACACACAACATGTAAAACAATGTGAGGAAGACCTGGGAGATGATGATGAATGGATACAGATATGTTAGAATGCCAAGTCATGTTCATATAATCTCAGACATAAATTACTGCAGTTTAAGACCATCCATAGAATGAACTATATGCCAGTGAAACTGAATATCATGCACTCAGAAATGTAATTATTCTGCTGGAGGTGTAAAACACAAAAGGGGACATATTTGCATATGTTATGGTCTTCTGAATTCTGGCAAAGAGCATGACTTTTATCTCAGCATGTCTACAGATTCTGCCTTCTCCCTGTTTTTGTTTGCTTGGAAATGTTGATACTGGAGACTGTTATCAGAAGAAACTGTGTAACCCAGCATTTATAGCGGCTAAGAAATGCGTTGCCATTAATTGGAAGGATAATTATCCTCCCTCAATGGATGGAAAAAATGTCAAGTTATGTATCACTAGATTTGATTTATTACAAGATTAAGGGTATACTGTGCAACTTTCATATGGTCTGAATGCCTTTTATGGAATACTGTACAACAAAAGGAGTCTGTATTGAAAACGTGCCCACGTCAGAGGAGATACCTATTTAGGCAATCTCTAGCTGCTGGGCTGCTCAGTCCTGGCCCTGGGGGTCTGACATACTGTTGGTTGTCACTCTGGCCTTGGCCTAACACACCTGAAACCAGTGTAGTGTTCGAGACCACCTAAAGCGAGACCGATTCAAGACCAAGACCGGAGCAAATTGAGTCCGAGTCAAGACCAAGACTGTAGAGGGAGTAAGACCGAGTCAAGACTGAGACCGGGAGGTGGACAAGGGATCCAAGACTGAGTCAAGACCGAGACCAGAAAAATGTGAATCCAATTCAAGACCATGATTGTAATTTTGTCAAATCACCACCAAAATAAGAGTTTGAAATGTCCTGTATTTCTGTGTTCATATTTCAGAACAACATGGATTCTTTAGACATTTAGAATAGTGGAAAAAATGCATGCTGAGGCAAAATAGAGCCACTCTACAAATTATTACTAACCCAAACACAGTGGGGAACAATGGGCCTTCTACGCCTTCAGAGAAGGGCTAAGGATTTATAAAATAATGATTAGAATAATAATGTTAATTATATTATTATTTTCAATGATGTTCTGATTTAATCTCTTTGTTTTTTGTTGGAAAGGAAAGGGTTGACGCTGAAGAGAAAAAAATATTTTCATATACACCCCCAGGAAGAATATGACATTTAAAAAAACAAATCTGACAAGCGACCACTTAGATATGGTCATTTTCACATTTTCATACATTCTTAGAATGTTTGGGAATTAAATATACTAAGGCATTTGGGGAAATTCTATAGCAAAATAGAGTGGGAAAGCGGCTGTGCATTTGGACAATTAATAGACACTGCAGTAAATAAAGCTGAATAAAAGCGTCTGTCTTGTCCAGGACCGAAGTCTACACAGACCGGTGCGCTATAGCCAATCAGATCTACAGTAGACTTTATACAAGCAAGCCATTTGCCACACGGGCCTGCCACCATTCACTTTGAACTGGACTGTGTTTACAGGCAGTTGCAACAGCGCGACTTTATATTATTAGAAAGCATTCGCCAAAAGCCACAAAATACAACTGAATGGATTTTTGAAAATATGTAAACACCATGGGAGTCCTCTTACATTTGGGAACTTTACAGTCCTATTGATCAAACAACCATGAAAAGGTAGGCTCTCTCTCCCTCAGTTATGCACATCAACAACAACAAGATCAACAACTAATGCTAGCCAGAGCAAGATGAGCTAAAATCTAACAAAGGAACATTAGGGTGTTCTCTCATGTGTCTGGAAGTAGCTTGCTAGCAAGCTAGCCAACTTTAGCCAGTTAGCTTGGGTGCTTGGTTGGGACAAGCATGCATTGGCAGGCAAGCTGCAGAAGGACGAGGAGGCTACAATTCCCCATTGGTTATCAGTGCAATTTTGACAGCCAACTAGCTGAAAATGTTTGAGAGGGTTTATGTTCACTCTGACCATTTTACTTGCCGTAGCAGTGCTGGTTAGGCTGTTTATCAAATCAAATTGTATTTGTCACATACACGTGTTTAGCAGATGTTATTGCGGGTGTAGCAAAATGCTTGTGCTTCTAGCTCCGACAGTGCAGTAATATCTAACAAGTAATATCTACAATTTCACAACATATACCCAATACACACAAATCTAAGTAAGGAATGGAATTTAAGAATACATACAGTGGGGAGAACAAGTATTTGATACACTGCCGATTTTGCAGGTTTTCCTACTTACAAAGCATGTAGAGGTCTGTAATTTTTATCAACCGTGAGAGACGGAATCTAAAACAAAAATCCAGAAAATCACATTGTATGATTTTTAAGTAATTAATTTGCATTTAATTGCATGACATAAGTATTTGATCACCTACCAACCAGTAAGAATTCCGGCTCTCACAGACCTGTTAGTTTTTCTTTAAGAAGCCCTCCTGTTCTCCACTCATTACCTGTATTAACTGCACCTGTTTGAACTTGTTACCTGTATAAAAGACACCTGTCCACACACTCAATCAAACAGACTCCAACCTCTCCACAATGGCCAAGACCAGAGAGCTGTGTAAGGACATCAGGGATAAAACTGTAGACCTGCACAAGGCTGGGATGGGCTACAGGACAATAGGCAAGCAGCTTGGTGAGAAGGCAACAACTGTTGGCGCAATTATTAGAAAATGGAAGAAGTTCAAGATGACGGTCAATCACCCTCGGTATGGGGCTCCATGCAAGTCTCACCTGTGGGGCATCAATGATCATGAGGAAGGTGAGGGATCAGTCCAGAACTACACGGCAGGACCTGGTCAATGACCTGAAGAGAGCTGGGACCACAGTCTCAAAGAAAACCATTAGTAACACACTACGCCGTCATGGATTAAAATCCTGCAGCGCACGCAAGGTCCCCCTGCTCAAGCCAGCGCATGTCCAGGCCCGTCTGAAGTTTGCCAATGACCATCTGGATGATCCAGAGAAGGAATGGGAGAAGGTCATGTGGTCTGATGAGACAAAAATAGAGCTTTTTGGTCTAAACTCCACTCGCCGTGTTTGGAGGAAGAAGAAGGATGAGTACAACCCCAAGAACACCATCCCAACCGTGAAGCATGGAGGTGGAAACATCATTCTTTGGGGATGCTTTTCTGCAAAGGGGACAGGACGACTGTACCGTATTGAGGGGAGGATGGATGGGGCCATGTATCGCGAGATCTTGGCCAACAACCTCCTTCCCTCAGTAAGAGCATTAAAGATGGGTCGTGGCTGGGTCTTCCAGCATGACAACGACCCGAAACACACAGCCAGGGCAACTAAGGAGTGGCTCCGTAAGAAGCATCTCAAGGTCCTGGAGTGGCCTAGCCAGTCTCCAGACCTGAACCCAATAGAAAATCTTTGGAGGGAGCTGAAAGTCCGTATTGCCCAGCGACAGCCCCGAAACCTGAAGGATCTGGAGAAGGTCTGTCTGGGCCAAAATCCCTGCTGCAGTGTGTGCAAACCTGGTCAATACCTACAGGAAACGTATGATCTCTGTAATTGCAAACAAAGGTTTCTGTACCAAATATTAAGTTCTGATTTTCTGATGTATCAAATACTTATGTCATGCAATAAAATGCAAATTAATTACTTAAAAATCATACAATGTGATTTTCTGGATTTTTGTTTTAGATTCCGTCTCTCACGGTTGATAAAAATTACAGACCTCTACATGCTTTGTAAGTAGGAAAACCTGCAAAATCGGCAGTGTATCAAATACTTGTTCTCCCCACTGTACATGGACAAGCAATGACAGAGCGGCATGGACTAAGATAGAGTAGAATATTATAGAATACAGTATATACATATGAGATGAGTAATGCAAGATATGTAAACGTTATTAAAGTGACTAGTGTTCCATTTCTTAAAGTGGCCAGTGATTTGCTAGTGATGGCTATTTAACAGTCTGATGGCCTTGAGATCGAAGCTGTTTTTCATTCTCTCTGTCCCAGCTGTGATGCACCTGTACTGACCTCGCCTTCTGGATGATAGCGGGGTGAACAGGCAGTGGCTCGGGTGGTTGATGTGCTTGATGATCTTTTTGGCCTTCCTGTGACATCGGGTGCTGTAGGTGTCCTGGAGGGCGGGTCGTTTTCCCCCGGTAATGCGTTCGGCCGTCCGCACCACCCTCTGGAGAGCCCTGCGGTTGTGGGTGGTGCAGTTGCTGTACCAGGCGGTGATACAGCCCGACAGGATGCTCTCAATTGTGCATCTGTAAAGGTTTGTGAATGTTTTAGGTGCCAAGCCAAATTTCTTCAGCCTCCTGAGGTTGAAGAGGCTCTGTTGCGCCTTCTTCACCACACTGTCTGCGTGGGTGGACCATTTCAGTTTGTCAGTGATGTGTACGCCAAGGAACTTGAAGCTCTCCACCTTCTCTACTGCGGTCCCGTCAAGTCCACGTTCATCTCCTTTGTTTTGCTGACGTTGAGTGAGAGGTTATTTTCCTGGCACCACACTCCCAGAGCTGTTTATATGCTATCTAGAGCGTTCTTGACTAACTATTAGTTTTTTTGCCTACGTTTACTGACACATTCATATTAAGTAGGTATTGCGCGTTCGTAAATTAATCAGTTGTTCAGCGCTCTGGCACACTCAGACGAGAGTGCTCTGAAGTCGGAATAGATAGCTAGAGATAGCTAGAGTGAATTTGCAAATGCAAGAGATATGCTAACTGTATAACAGTCATTCAAGTTATTGCTAGCTAACCAAAGGACACCTGCATCTCTAGCTGTGTATTGCCACCGAAAAATGGGTCTCCCGGTCGCGACACAGCCCGGGATCGAACCCGGGTCTGTAGTGATGCCTCAAGCACTGCGATGCAGTGCCTTAGACCGCTGCACCACTCAGTTTAAAGACAATGCTATCAAATACTAATTGAGTGTATGTAAACTTCTGACCCACTGGGAATGTGAAAAGCTGAAATAAATCATTCTCTCTACTATTATTCTGACATTTCACGTTCTTAAAATAAAGTGGTGATCCTAACTGACCTAAGACAGGGAATTTTTACTAGGATTAAATGTCAGGAATTGTGTATGTAAACTTCCGACTTCAACTGTACAAATGACCTCAATTACCTCGACTAACCCGTACCTCCGCGCATTTCACGGTAAGGTCTACACCTGTTGTATTTGGCTCATGTGACAAATAAAATTTGATTTGATTTATTAAATATGTTTAAGTGATTGATAATACTGAACTAGATCAATGATAATTCAATAATCAATATTATGTCGCAACTTTAAGCAATAGACTAACAAATGAACAACTCTTACAAATAAAGTATAAAGACTTTTGATTGTCTTTATTAAGACATCCTCTATATAACATTTTAGCCAGACCGCCCAGCCAGCCCGAGCCACCTGCACGCCCGACCCCCACCAGTCTAGTCAATAACTAAACTCTCTCCCCAACACAACTTCCTTCCCATCTTTTTTTTTTATGTCTCAAGGGAAAGGTTTGGAAAACAAAAGTTTAATAAAAACACATAAACACCTACGCATTAACACACAGAAACAGTACACCCTCCATATAATTCAGATCATAGGCTTAGTAGTACTGTAGAGCTCTTTTTACTTGCACACAATATAGCCGACTTCAACTGTACATGTAGGTAGGGATAAAGTCACTATGCATAGATAATAAACAGCGAGTAGCTGCAGGGTAAAAAAGGGGGTCAATGCAAATAGTCCAGGTAGCCATTTGACTAACTGTTTAGCAGTCTTATGGCTTGAGTAGAAGCTGTTAAGGAGCCTTTTGGACATAGACTTGGAGCTCCGGTACCGCTTGCCGTGCGGTAGCAGAGAGAACAGTCTATGACTTGGGTGGCTGGAGTCTTTAACAATTTTTAGGGCCTTCCTCTGACACCGCCTGGTATAGAGGTCCTGGATGGCAGGAAGCTTGGCTCCAGTGATGTACTGGGCCGTACGCACTACCCTCTGTAGCGCCTTGCGATCCGATGCCGAGCAGTTGCCATACTAGGCGGGGATGCAACCAGTCAGGATGAACTTTTTGAGGATCTGAGGACCCATGCAAATCTTTTCAGTTTCCTGAGCGGGAATAGGCATTGTCGTGCCCTCTTCACGACTGTTCTGGTGTGTTTGGACTATGATAGTTTGTTGGTGATGTGGACACCAAGGAACTTGAAGCTTGAGGCTCTCGACCCGCTCCACTACAGCCCCGTCGATGTGAATGGGGGCATGCTCGGCCCTCCTTTTCCTGTAGTCCATGATCAGCTCCTTTGTCTTGCTCACGTTGAGGGAGAGGTTTTTGTCCTGGCACCACACTGCCAGGTCTCTGACCTCCTCCCTATAGGCTGTCTCATCGTTGTCGGTGATCAGGCCTACCACCATCGGCAAACTTAATGATGGTGATGGAGTCGTGCCTGGCCACGCAGTTGTGGGTGAACAGGGAGTACAGGAGGGGACTAAGCACGCACCCCTGAGCGGCCCCCGTGTTGAGGATCAGCATGGCAGATGTGTTGTTGCAGATGTGTTGTTGGTCCTCTGTAGCTCAGCTGGTAGAGCACGTCGCTTGTAACGCCAAGGTAGTGGGTTCGATCCCCGGGACCACCCATACACAAAAATGGATGCACGCATGACTGTAAGTCGCTTTGGATAGAAGTGTCTGCTGAATGGCATATTATTATTATTACCACCTGGGGGCGGTGTTTAGTCCCAGGGTCCTTAGCTTAGTGATGAGCTTTGAGGGCACTATGGTGTTGAACGCTGAGCTATAGTCAATGAACAGCATTCTCACGTAGGTGTTCCTTTTGTCCAGGTGGGAAAGGGCAGTGTGGAGTGCAATAGAGATAGCGTCATCTGTGGATCTGTTGGTGCGGTATGCGAATTGGAGTGGGTCTAGGGTTTCTGGGATAATGGTGTTGATGTGAGCCATGACCAGCCTTTCAAAGCACTTCATGGCTACAGACGTGAGAGCTACGGGTCGGTAGTCATTTAGGCAGGTTATCTTAGTGTTCTTGGGCACAGGGACTATGGTGGTCTGCTTGAAACATGTTGGTATTACAGACTCGGTCAGGGAGAGGTTGAAAATGTCAGTGAAGACACTTGCCAGTTGGTCAGCGCATGCTCTGTCTGGCCCTGCGGCCTTGTGAATGTTGACCTGTTATAAGGTCTTACTCACATCGGCTACGGAGAGCGTGATCACACAGTCGTCCAGAACAGGTGAAGCTCTCATGCATGTTTCAGTGTTACTTGGCTCGAAGCGAGCATAGAAGTAATTTAGCTCGTCTGGTAGGCTTGTGTCACTGGGCAGCTCATGGCTGGGCTTTCCTTTGTAATCCGTAATAGTTTGCAAGCCCTGCTACATCCGATGAGTGTCAGAGCCGTTGTAGTATGATTCAATCTTATTCCTGTATTGACGCGTTGCTTGTTTGATGGTTCGTCGGAGGGCATAGCGGGATTTCTTATAAGCGTCCGGATTAGTGTCCCGCTCCTTAAAAGCGGCAGCTCTAGACTTCAGCTCAGTGCGGATGTTGCCTGTTATCCATGGCTTCTGGTTGGGAAATGTACGTACGGTCACTGTGGGGACGACATCATCGATGCACTTATTGATGAAGCCGGGGACTGATGTGGTATACTCCTCAATGCCATCGGATGAATCCCGGAACATATTCCAGTCTGTGCTAGCAAAACAGTCCTGTAGCTTAGCATCTGCGTCATCTGACCACTTCTGTATTGAGCGTGTCACTGGTACTTCCGGCTTTGTTTTTGCTTGTAAGGAGGTATCAGGTGGATATAATTATGGTCAGATTTGCCAAATGGAGGGCGACGGAGAGATTTGTACGCGTCTCTGTGTGTGGAGTAAAGGTGGTCTAGAGTTTTTTTCCTCTGGTTGCACATGTGACATTCTGGTAGAAATTAGGTAAAATGAATTAAACATTTCCTGCATTAAAGTCCCCTGCCACTAGGAGCGCCGTTTCTGGATGAGTATTTTCTTGTTTGCTTATGGCCTTATACAGCTTGTTGAGTGCGGTCTTAGTGCCAGCATCGGTTTGTGGTGGTAAATAGACAGCTACAAAAAATATAGATGAAAACTCTCTTGGTAAATTGTTTGGTCTACAACTTATCTCGAGGTACTCTACCTCAGGCGAGCAAATCCTCGAGACTTCCTTAATATTAGAGATCACGCACCAGCTGTTATTGACAAATAGACACAGACCACCACCCCTTGTCTTACCGGAGGTAGCTGTTCTGTCTTGGCAATGCTAGGAAAACCCAGCCAACTGTATATTATCCATGTCGTCGTTCAGCCACGCCTCGGTGAAATATAAGATATTACCGTTTTTAATGTCCCATTGGTAGGATAGTCTCGAACGGAGCTCATCCAGTTTATTCTCCAATGATTGTATGTTGGCCAATAGGAAGGATGCTAGAGGCGGGTTACCCACTCGCCGACGAATTCTCACAAGGCACCCGGATCTGCGCCCCCTGTATCGGCGTCTTCTCTTCATGTGAATGACAGGGATTTGGGCCAGGCCGCGAGCAGCAGTAAATCCTTTGCATCCAACTCATTATATAAAAAATATTTGTCTGGTTCGAGGTGAGTAATCGCTGTACTGATATCTAGAAGCTCTTTTCGGTCATAAGAGACGGTGGCAGAAACAGTATGTTCAAAATAAGTTACAAACAACGCGAAAAAACACACAAAGTATCACAATTGGTTAGGAACCCATAAAATGGCAGCCATCCCCTCCGGCACCATTATTAATAATGATCTCTTACCTAGCTTGATGACTGTGGGCATTATTGCTTACTTTTTGTTGTTCTAAAGGGAGATGGCTAGAAGGTCCATGGACCATATTAGATTGTGTAGAAATGCAGGAAATTAGCTTTAGATGCCCCCAAAAATGGGAGGACCCCCCGCCAAGTTATGTCCCCCCCACTTCTAAAACCAAAATTGCACCCCTGACTGACAGAATAATGTTTACAGAAGCAGAGATGAGGAGTCCTAGGTACACAGTAGGTGTGTGTATTCACTGCACATCAAACGTTAGAGGACAGAATACAGTAGGTTCTGTACTAGCATTACTGTTTAGGCTACGGTAGGCTATGTTTGACAGTCTCAACAATGATTTGGCTCACTTATACTTGGCAGAAGAAGATTGCATTGGCAAGATGGAGAATGCCATTCAGAAGTACAGTACACAGTCAAAGTGCTGTTTGCTTGATGGTCCATATAATCATAAATGATTTATTTGGCTGTAGAGTTTGAGGCATGCGGGCCAATTTAAGAGAATGGAGGTGGCGTGTAGTATTTTTTATATTTTTTATTAGTATAACACGATGCAAGAAAATTCAGCTTCAGCAAGAACAGGAGTCCATTTGCATCTTGAGACACAGGAATGCATTTAGAACAGACTGGCACTGAGCCAGAGGTTTAAAACACATACAGGAGAAACTGAACTGTGTGACACCTATTTCTGTAATCTCCATAGAGCATGCCTAAGGATATGTGGTCATATTGCAACCTTACCTCATACTACAAACTTGCCTTGTCAAAACAAACTGACCAAAAAAATGCAGAAGGGAGCCATTGGAATTGACTCACAGGAAATCTCCTATTGCACTTGTGCATCTACAAGTTTGGTTTTGAGAACATGCAAATATGCTAATTGTTTTTTTCACCAGGTCTCAACACCCTTAAAAAAATATATAAACAACAGAAATCAACATACAACAAAGAAATCCATATAACAGAAGGCACTGTACCTGTTTGGAGACATCAGTGAGGAGGTCAGGTGAGGACCTGCACTGCCTGTTGTCATAGTGAGCCTTGTAGAACTTCCTGGAAGGTAGAGGTTTAACCATATTCAAGCAATGCAAACCTTTCTTTCACAGTAAGTCTAAGGATATATATATATATTTTTTTTATGTCTCTCTGTGCAAAGACAAGACACAAAGGGGCGGTTTTCCGTACACAGATTAAGCCTAATCCTGGATTTAAAAGCATCTTCAATGGAGATTCTCCATTAAGATTGCTTTTCAGTCCAGAACTAGGCTTAGTCTGTGTTCGGGAAACCTACCCAATAAGTGTCGTCACCTTTCAAAAGGCAGGTTCTTCCTCTCCCCTCTCCTGACACAGTCCAATAGTTGTTTCTGGGTCCTACCACTAGAGAGAGGGGTAGCACAGTTTTATCAAACCCAGTAAACGGTAAAGGCTTTTGACAAATTAATCAATTCCCTGTTCCGTATTTCCTGGTCTGACCTGTATCTGAAGCAGGAGCCTTTACTGTAGAGGAGGGATTTGTGTCGGGACTTGGGCTCCTCAGAGAGACGGAAGAAGGCATGGTACTCTACACACGTCTTCCAGAAGGCCTTACATACATCACGGCTGGCCATGGTTAGCTCTACCGTGTCCTTACGAGAGGGCTGACCACACACACGTACACAAACACACACATTACACACACACACACACACACACACACACAGACACAAACATACAGACACACACACAGATGTAACAGGGGTCATTTCTATGGAAATAATGCAGCATGTTGTTTGAATAAAACCACATGTAACCAACAACAAACAAACACCTGGTAACTGATACAATCCTATTTGACCACTCAGTCACACTTAATGTCTCAAACTAAAACACTCACCATAATCTTAGCGTGGAGTTTTATCAAAAAATGTTTTCTTTTAAAGCTCAGTTTGCGGATTGAGGCCCAGCTGAAAGTGTTTATCTTAGTGTTGCCCTGGGAGAAGAGAGGAACACAGTTAAAGAGTACAAACTGACAAACAGTCCAAATATATACCTCTGTAATAAATACTTCTCTCTTGGTTATGTTGTGTTCTTGGCATATCCGTTTCCAGTGTTTGTCACTCTAAATGAGACATAGTCCACACTGTACAATCCACTGTAATAGCATGTAATAACGTAGTATATTATTCATGCTCTATGCACAAATCCTGTACATCTCATTAAGAGGTCTTTATGATGAGCCCAGCCATTACCTGGAAGACCAACACTCCAGAGTGTGTGATGGCCAGGTTGATCTTGGTGCCCTCTCCATCACTGGCAGCCTGTGGGCGGATCCCATACATATCCAGCTTCCGAGCCACCTCCAGCAGCAGGCTGTCTGCCTCGCCTGGAGTCTGGCCCCTGGAACACGCACAGCACCAGCAACAGCCTACAGTCAACCTAACCATCAACCCCCTGTCACCTCAACACGATGCGACAGTCACCTCACCACCAGAACCATCAGACCTTCACACCTGGTATGCCTGAGTCACTAACTACTTCAGTGAGCAATTTAGGCCCTATTCTGCCCCCACCCAGCTACCAGAGAGCCCCTGGCTTCTGAACCCCGAGCCCGGGAGGTACCTACCTGTGCCTCTTGTGGAAGCGCAGGATCTTCTTGTGGAGGCACTCCTGGTTGGGTACGTACTTCTTGCTCTCTAGATGCTGCAAGTCAAGTTCCTCCTCGTAGTCACCTATCTCTGCTACAAGTGTACGGAAACAGTGGAGACATCACCACAAACACAAGCCACTATTATGATCAACCGTAGTTCAATTGTAATCATGATCATCTACTTACACTGCAGTAAATGTGAGACGAGGAGAGCAGCGCTGTTATCATTGCACGTAAGACTCCCATTGGACAAATCCTGTTTAATCTGCAATGCAAACAGGTACCTGCAAGAGGGAACTTGAATAAGCTTGAATGTGTCTTGAATAAGCATCATGTCTCCGTGTACCAAATAAGTTCCCTTAGTCAAGAGGTCCAAACCATTTGTATAGCTGGGGCAAATGTCAATTGGCACAACCTTTTTCAACAGAAGAACAAGAGAGAGTGACCTACCTGGTCAGTTCTTTCTGCAGCTGCCCTGGGTCTGGGGGGAAGAACTTCACTATGAAGCGGAACATTGGATCTCTGTTGTCTGTAGGAGCGGAACAACATCCTTGATGCTCAGTACGACAGATGACTCAATCCACATAGCAGAATTCACAAGCCTTTGCATGAATGAGCTGCAACTTACTTTTTACTTGCTTGGCCAAGGGCTTTAACAGTTCCAACCACATCTGGGATTAGAAATAAAGATCAGATTAGCATCTACAGCTTGGAGTGACATAATTTAGGGTACCTTCTTTGGTCACACTTTATTTGAAAAGTCCATCTGTAGATGCTCTACAGATGGGGTCATAATATCAACAAATTATCTGTTGATAAGCAACTGCTTGCTAGCGTTAGCGCAGTGACTGGAAGTCTATGGATATCTGCTAGCATGCTAGTTAGCATTGGCTTGCAAAACTACCTCGAACTTCCTTCATACTGGACACCGAGACATAAAAATGGTATCCACATGTTCCTCTGACTCTGGGGAAGTACATAAAGGGCCTCATTGCCAAAACCCTGAAGTATCCCTTTAAGTTTAGGGTTAGGATAAGGTTTAAGGTTAGGGTTAGATTTAGTAGATAGTTAGTTGAAATGTTACTGATAGTCTGTAGACTAGAGCATCTACAGATGGTCTATCCAAATAATGTGTAACCAACTCTTCTTTTCCTCCCTTCGTCAAACCTACATTTGAGTTACAGTACAGTATGTGTTCTAATGAATGACTTACATAACTGCCACACTGGTGACGGAATTCAAGGCCAAAATACTCTTTTTCCAACAGCTTCAGGTGCCCACAAACTTTGTTGTAGAAATCATTTCCAAGGATCCTTTGCTGTAAAGCAATACAAACAGGAAATACTAAAAGTTATACTTTGAAGTGTTTATTTTGCATTTTCTTTACAAAAATAAAAGCGTAGAGTAATTCAGTTTACACAGATCACAACCAGATCTTAATCATGATTTATTTCCCAAACAGTGTGAAGATGAGGAGCTTTGACATGACCTGACCATGCATTTGACTGCAGAATAAAGAAAGAGCCAAATGTTGAGATGTAGGCTGGAACAAATGAAAGCGCTTTATGTTCAATATCCAAAGGGGATGAAGAAATCGGGCCACCTTAGACACTTTAAAACCCTTCCAACTCAAAGCTGCCCTGCAGTCATTCTCATCCCTCTGTACAGAACCACTCAGCAACCTCTTTTTTTTATTAACTTATTGTCCCTTCACTCATGACATAGATGCACAAAATGCCCCACGGTTTGGAAGTAAAAATACTGTATGCGGTCAACAGGGATAATGGGGTTTTAAAAGGAAGGGAGATGCATTGCCAACAGAATACAATTGGAGGAAGAAGAATCCATTTATTTAACTGTAATAATAAAAATGATAACATCTGAATATACTTCTGTTTACAATAAGCGGAGGTATTTGCGTTTACAAATACATAAGGCACCAGTGACTGTCGTTTGACCTGTGTGTAAATTGATGGATACTTGTGACTTCTGGTAAATTGACTGGAATATAGTTATGAAAAATACACTTCTCACCTCAACCTCAAATATCCTCTCACTGTCATCCAAGAAGATGACCCGCAGTTTGAACGTGCCCTCTCTTTGTTTCTTGCGAACAATGACAGCTCTCAGCTCTGGGGTCCGATTCAGCTCGTGTCCACCTTGGCTCTCGGTCATCCTCACCCACTCGTCACGAGCAAACACACTGATACAAAACAGCAGAACTGATGAAATTTAGTCAGGCCCATCTTCCAAACTCTTTCTCAAGGAGTATATATGCTAAAAGCGTATAAAGTTGTGTCAAAATATGACTGAATAACTCAAATGTAAGTTGGATGGAATCATGGAAACTATTTTGACTCCACTAAAGGTATTCAACAAAATGTTATACCTACCCTTTTCTCTTCTGTGGGTTTCATTATCCCCTCAATAATACATCCTCACCAAAGTCCAAGCAACATCGCGCAAAACCCACTGTGAAGAGGGGTACCATCCTCTCCATCCTTTACACACTAACATCCACAGGCACAGCTCCAAATAGATGGCTGCACTTTGGAAAAGGTCACGCACGCATTAAATGTGTGTGTGTGTGTGTGTGTGTGTGTGTGAGTACTGCGGCGATGCAAGGTCATGTGGTCACTGGTAGCATCATCAGGTTCTCTCTGGAAAAAGAAAGATACAGTACCATGCATGGATCGCCACTAGATGTCAGCAAGTGCATGCAACATGACTGCCATGTTCACTCAGGACAGTGAGCTAGCTGGACAGGCCTTTAAAAAAAAATCATCTATTCTACACAATATTTTATTGGAGAGTAACATTTTAAAGAACCTGTTGTATTTTCCATAGGCAGAATGGCTAATGATTGTTTCATAATTCAAATGAGATCATTCACTCGATTGGACCATGTAGGGAGGGACAATGCAAATAAACAAGTTTAGAATGTGAAAATTTTTCTTATGCAAGTCATTGAGACAGAATTCATTACTGTACAGGGCTTTTATACAGTAATTTCACTGATTTCTGTGTCCACCAATGACCATGTTTGAAACAAGTTTAGAATGTTTGAATTCCTAGGGAACTCATACAGCATTCCACAGAAAGGGACATCTGATGTAAATTAGATCATCTCTGAAGAAATCTACAGAAAGCATTTCTTGTAACAAAAATAAGAGCACATTCTCTGCAGTCTGTGTGAGTCTGCCCCCCACAGAGTGATTGAAATCTGCCCCGCTAGGTGTCTAGCCTGTGGCTCTCTTTACCCTTTTGCATTTTAATGTCACGACTCTCCATGCAGAAAATTGATTCCCAATGATACCATTGAGAGGCTGGGTCACTAAGTGGAGAAAAACAAGAACAATGATTCAACAAACACTAAATGGTGACACTAAATTAGAAAAATATCCTAGAAATACAAGCGATATTAAATGGGAAGTATGTTTGAATGAGGATATGCCAGTTTGATTTGATGTCCTGTTCTAAAAGGTATTTGACTGCCCAAAACAGATGAGGGTGACATTGCAGTGTTTGTTGATGTTACTGAGGAGACAGTGAGTCCTGCTCCTCTCTATAGACTTCAGGCCCAGATATCCAGCACAAAAGCCATAAATAGTCTCCAGGAATAGTCAGATATGTAACACTAAACAACCAAACAACAGAACATATACCATAAGAAAAATACTACTACTATAATACTACTCTACATGTAGCTTGATACACCTCCCCTCCACAAGGTTGTTTTTAGTTTTATCCTCCAATAAGAGCATATTTGCCAGTTCTTAATGACCCAGCCATGTGTTTTACAGTAATTCATCTCCCTTGAATCTGTAAATACTCTCAACAGAGCGGAGATCAAATTACGGCAAAACAAAGCCCCGTGAGCGGAGCGGAGAGACTGTGCATTCACAGGCGTAATGAGCCATCTGTTCTGTCACGCCACCGCAAAACAAATGTCATCAAATCCTTCGCTCTCTCCTTCCCCTTTTCCCCTCCTCTCTCTCACCTCCCTTTCTTTCCAGGTAAACTGTGAGCTTTGTTTGTTCTGGAAGCAGGAACACCTTGCTAATGTGAGACTGTCGTGCTCCGTCGACAGCTGCAGCCACATCACACATTGTTACAGTTGTATCAGATTTTCCGAATGGAAATTGGCTCACACCTGTCGAAGCCACAGAGCTGGAGCGTGTCATTGGAGCTTTCCTTCTGCTGTTGTTACCTCTGTTCTGTTACTTATCGTCTTCCAATTCAGTTGGAAACTGATCTCCAACTTCACTGTAAATTACATTGTAAACTGAGATATTGTGAAATGGAAGAAAAAAAACACAGGAGCAGTTTTTCAGTAGCACTTTAATGTTGTCAACCTTTTAAAATGATAGTGACAGCAACAATAATGAGAGAATGGAGTTTAAATATTTAAGCACATTAAACAGACCATGGGGTAGAGGACAATTTGATGGCACAGCAGAGTGTGTGAAAACATGCAAGTTGAGTTGCGAGGCTATCCCTCCCAGTGTTTTTGTGAGGGGTTCTTATTGAGGATGAGGTTTCTCATATTTCCTGTAAGCAAGTACTGTAGGCCTTAAACACCCAGAAAACCATTCCAGACACACACAAGAGGTGGGAAACAAAACAGCATCAGGCACTCTGGCTGAGCAAAACTAACTAAACAAACATCCATGAGTGCAAAAAGGCAACCATTTCTTTGGGCTCTTACACCAGAGACCCTGATTAAAAACACACATTCATCACAATGGAATGGCTTTTAGAAAGAACAGGCTGCTGCAAAATATTTCATTAGCAGCAGATGGGAAAAAAAATGGGACAAATATAAATAATCAAGAAAATGGGGTTAACCCATTAAATCCAATCATATCCCCAAACCAGACCTGAAACAGCATTCCCCCACTCTGAAGAACCTTTACACCAGGTGAGAGGAAAGATACAGTGAGTAGGCTGCTATATAGTGCCCAGTAAAGTAATGGCTCCATTAATATACTGGGCATGTCAATGTAAATACTGTAAATATATATATATAATGTCTCTGCAGGTGACCACATCAAAGATGGTGGAGATGATCCTCTAAGGCTTTCTGGGGATGGGAACGCTATCTGGTCACCAAGACCACAGAGTCCAGCCATGAGGCCTTCAGAGGAGTGCTGACTGACTGCTGTACATGCCAGGACTCTGAGACAGATGGCAGCAGTCTGTCTGTACACGGAAGGGTGCGTGGGGTTATTCCTCACTGGTGGGGCTTGGCTCATCCCCAGCCCCCGGTGTCACTGCGTCTCCCGTCCCCTCTGTTTCTTCCACTGCTTCCTTTCCCTCCTGTCTCTCAGCGCTCTCTCCTCCTTGGGCACCAGCACCCTCTGCTGGGGCAGCCTCCTCAAAGCCCGGGCCCTCCCCCTGGGGCCCGTCCCCATCGTAGATGATGTCCTCAGGGTTGGGGGCCGGGGGACAGAACTCCTCGTCAGGGAGAATCTGGCGAAACACTGCCTCGGCCTGGAGAGAGACAAGAGACAACACGAACACACACAGAGAGGGGTGAGGATAACTCAATCTACACCATCAGCCTCATTAGACATTCCACTTCCAGGCTAGTGACGCAAGTCATCTTTAGCCAATTATTTGTTCGATTTTAAGAATTATATAAACGTTAAAGAGCGCAATTCTTACGAGTTTAGCGTGACTATAAAAAAATATATATCTCCGGGACTTTGCCACTTACCAGTTTGATTGAGTGGTCACTGCCCAGGGCGGTATCAGGGCTGGTACACACATGCACGTTACTGGGCAGGTCATAGCTGCTCCTGTCCACAGCAGAGGTGTCCCTCATGTTGAAGTACAGGGCCCACAGCACCGTCGGCCCCCTGCTCTCCTCCTCTCCTGGATGGGGAGGGACGCACGTCATGAATGTAATGTACTGTTCTGATTTCTATGGAGAGCCGTGCATGGACATCATGATTTCTCATTTAGTTTTGTCTGTGACAATGGAAGAGCAATGTGGCTCACACTACCCCCTTCTTGACCTGAACCAACCTGTCCCAAGTCCCATGGAATATTGCTCCCTTCAGATGCTTGTCAGGACCAGGACATTTCCCAGTTATGAAGTCGTAAGTCCTGTTTTAGAAGTCAGAGCAATTCTTCAACCAATGAGATTTCATCTAGCAAGATGAGCTAGCTAACATTGCTAATGATAAAGTTGGCTAGCTTGCTTAACTTTGACAATATGGTCAAACTAGCTATTATCCACATTGATAAGTTTGACAGCGTGAAACATTTATTTGCTTTATCATCTTATGGTTGAAAAGATGAAAGGTCAGTGATGAAACATCACAACTCTAAAATTGGGTATCTTCTCTGTCTCCGACTTGGGAGGGTCGTTCAAGTGCTTATTTCCCAGTCGGAACCTCGTATTTCCCACTTTTGAGTAGCATTTGAAGGCAGTATATTGCTCTTTTGATTTCATATTTCAGAAATCATCAAACTAGCTAGTTAGGCACTTTTTTATTATTATTTAAGTTACATTTAATATGAAGAATTTGTAAGTCGCTCTGGATAAGAGCGTCTGCTAAATGCCGTAAACGTAAACATCAGAACGTAAAGCCCAAATGAGACACTTTATCTCTAGCTGATCCAAAATAAGTCGCATTGAAGATCAATGGAGGAATCATTTGATAGAGTTGAAATGTTTCGGAAAATATTATATATTACTGCTATACGGATGCAGCTCATGTCTGCCATTGAAACAAAATCCTGGAGTACGAGATAACAGGGTATTAGTAACAGTAAGCTACCAAACAATTGAATCATTAATGCAATTCATATTTTCGTGTAGAAATACTCAGCCATAATTGTGCAATTTAGTCTTGTAGGAATATTTTATTCAGTGTGTGAGAAGAGAAAGGAACTTAACAGGCTCCTTTCAACACAGCTTATCTGTGAGGAAGCATGATTTCTGTTAATGGGGTGACATTTGGTTTGCCGACAAGGCACATGGAAAGTGTTTCTTGACACTCTTTGATCGGTCCGTGAGTGAGACTTAAAGCGGTCAAACAAAACGAGAGAGGATGATTTGGAGCTGCGAGAAGGCTCCGGGTTTTCAAAGCGTAAAACCGTCATTCTGTATCATTACCCTTTAAAATGCAAGGGACCAAAAAAGGTACCCAAAGAAAGAGAGAGAAAAAGGTGTCAGTCTGAAATGTCAGTGTGGTCATTACCAAAATGTCACACAATTATAATATGTGTTACTTTTCCTGCCTTGGGTAGCGGAGTGATTTAGTTAATTTGGAGATCAGCAGAGGTGTGGCACCATCAACGTGACGTCGTTTCAAAAGGCCACCCAACCTCAAAATACACCCCTGTCCGCCCATGCATCTTCTCCATACACCTACACACACCTCACCAAATACACACCCAACACAAACAACAACGACGCCTTATTAGACATCATTGTCTAGTTTTTCCACACACACACACAAACGCGCAGCCCCGTCACAGACAGATGTGAGAAATGTCAGATTAGCATAGAGCTGTGCTCCTGACGGGGCCTTCTACACGCCTGGAGCTTAACACCCTCAAATATCAGCCACCTCTAACACACAGTGGCTCTCTGCCTGGGCGGCCTGCCACCACACATCAACACACAGTCTCTTCTAGCATGCATTCATTCTTAAAAACACAGGATTTCACAACGCTGCATTGGTTCAAACTGTCATTTTCAAATGAAGCGGCTAGAGTAGGATCATCTAGAGTAGGAGCCAGGATACTCCATCCTGTCCTCATCTTGCTCATAGATGTGCACCTGCCCCCGACTGCTCCAGCCCTACCTCTAACCTTCTGCCCTCTCCACCCCCAGAGCCTCTGCTGAGCACCCCTCCCCTCCTTGTCCCTCTCCAATCCCCCCCCCCCCCCCCCCACCACCACACCTCCTACCCAGTGGATGAATGAGAAGCCGGCAACCAGCCAGCCAGGTGACTTTGTCTCTTTGACCTGTTCTGGCCCACTGCTCTCCTTATCTAGTGATTCATCCTCAATAACTCTCACAGTATTTGTTCTGACATTTTAATTAAAATACTACTACCTCATTCCTGTGATAAAAAGGGTGGCGTCACAGAGCACAGCCCCACACTGCACAGCGCTGGCCTACCACCTGAGAGCCTCGCGTATATATACGTACACACACAGGCAGGGAGAAAGTGAAATGAAGGAACAGAGACAGAGATGGGGTGAAAGGGAGAAATATCTCTATTTTTTAAGGGGAGCAGAGGGACATTGAGAGAAAGCGATATGAAAGCTAGAGAGGTGATGATGAGTCAGAAAAGAGATGTGGCGGAAAAGGGAATGAGGATGTCAGAGAAAGAGAAGGAAAAAAGGGTTCTCAATCACGCCCGTCACTTGCATGATGACCTTGTCTCACAGCCGTCGAGAAGCACTAATAAAACAACGAATGGCTTCAAGAGGCGATTGTGGATCTCTGTGTTGGTTTCGGTCAGAATGGAGCTGTCATTTTTACTGACCTGCACCAGGTTTGAGAAAAGCCATAACCTACCACGGACAAAAAGATCCCTGCCTCAGTAAAAACACTGACTACTCCAATATATTAGATATAGTTATAAGGGGTTTCAAATCCAAAATAGCAAACAAATTCTATAATGCAAAAGTGATGGGTTCTAGAGGCAAATTTGTTCCCCGTGAGGAGATGGACTCATAAATTGTGAGTGCAGTCCAAATGGGATGCTGGAGCTAATTAAACATTATATTTCTGTTGAAATCCTTGCTAAGGAAATACTGTGCCTAATTGGATTCCCAATTCTGTTCTGTAGGCAGAAAGCCAGTATGAGGGTTTGCGCTCAGGCTAGAATGAATGGTGGCCGGTGTGTGAGAGAATAAATATCTGTAGAGTTCCAAAGGTAGCCTACTCACACCCAAAGCACCCAAAGAGGCCGAGATAAAAAATGATATACTTAATTTAATCCATGCTCAAAAGATACATGCTCATGTTCTGTACGTTAAATGAAATGAAACTGGTCCAAAACCTAGAAAAGAAATGTCAGACGTGAAAGAATTAATGTTGACCAACACAATGCAGCTTCATGATAAGTAAGAACCCCAAGGATATAGCTAGGTCTAGAAAACATCTCTAGAGAGACATGTTGAAACAGTATTTCTATAATTTGGTGTAATAAGGAGGTTCCAGCCGAGGTCGTGCTAATTTACTATCAAGGAACCAAGCCGAGCCTGACAGAAGGTAATGGGAATCAATGGGACAACAGCCTAACGCCAGTTTGGCACGCAGCCATCAATATCAATCATCGTTATTACTGATAATGTCTCCATGCAACCCCGACAAATGTCAGTGCATTCTCACCCAACTACAAACTAGCCTGATCTTTCTTCTTTAGGAAAGGATATCATGAGGTACTTCGAACATTTGAGCACATTATTTTGTATCGAGTAGTGACAGTGATGTGTGATGGTATGTAAATCAATCAGGAGAGAGGTTAGATGGATATTTGACAGTAAAAAGGGGTCATGTGAGAGTTTTCTAGTGTACCTTCCATAGGTTCCGCTCCAGGACTAGCTGGTGTGTAGAGGAGCCTGGACACCACCGGAGCCAGGTCTTCTTGGGCAGTGCCAGAGGAGGAGGAACATGTCAGGTGGACCAGATCTGTGTTAGGGAGGTAGATGAAGAACACACATACAACCCAGTATTATTAGCCAAGTAGAATATCCTTGTTTGCTTCATTAGCAGATGTTGTTCTCCAAGTCCACATCAGCCCATTTTCCATCTATCCTGTAGCATGTGAGAGGGACCTTCCCTAAAGAGATGGAACATTGTCTAATTACCCTCCGGAGTCAGTTCCCTAACAACCTGTTTCTTAACACACTGCACAGCTAGGCCATATCAGCATCTCCTCCACAGCATGGCAAGGAATGTTTCATGAAAAGTGCCCAGAGAGGATGGGGTTGGAAGGAGCTGGGCTTTGGATGCATGGTGTTGGACCTCAGAGGTGGTTGCATCTTCAAAGCATTCAGCCCCACTACTGCAGGGGAGTATTGGTGGCAGTGCTGGGATCCAGAGAGTAGGGTCCCAAGAGCTCAGACAACTGTAGGGCTCCTTCTCCTTTTAGTTCTCTCTCTCAGGTTGACAGGTTTGGGGGTTCGAAGGGAGCAACTCCAGCACTGGGAACCAGATAGCTCCTGATTGTGCCATGCTGGCTGGGGGGGGGGTAGAGTGTGGATGGAGGATACAGGCCTCCCCAGTGGGATGAGAGGTGAATCATTGGCCAGAGGGTCCATGGAGATGCAGCTCAGAGGACATATGTGACACTCTACTCACACTGGGACTCTAGAGGCACTCCACTCTCTGTCAGCTCAGGGCCCAAACAAAGAGGAACGGGAGTGTTGGGAGGATAGACAGCAGGGCTGTCCACTGAGACACTTGAAGCTCATTCTGTGGAAAACTAACCTGGTAGATGTAGAATCGGGTGCATATCGGCTGTCTTCAGGTCTTTAAGTTTTAAATTACCCAGGGAGACCAGACTTTACTGTTAAGACAGCTCATTTCGTGGCCAATATTCCATTTGAAATGGCAAAACACCATTGTTCCCATAGGGTTGCTAGTTCAAATCCCAGGAAGCCATGTTGCCCTTGAGAAAGACACTCAGATCAAATTGGTCTGGTACATATTCATCAGTATAAATGGATATTCTGTAGACTGTAAACTCTGCAAGTATCATTCAATGCAGATTAATGGTTTACCGTGTGTGTGTGTGTGTGTCGCAGGCCTGTCAAGCTCATCATCATCTTATGATTGCAACTGATCCACTCAGGTAGAACTACATTACTTAAGGGGCGCTACAGCTATCCGTCTCCATCCTCTCTCGTACACTCACAGTAGGAGCAATGGCTCCACTTCACAATTCCATCATTCCAGACTCAATTCCCAGACTGAGGGAGTGGACTTCCACTGATCACTCCTCTCTCTCACCCCCCCTCCCCCCCACAGAGATGGAGATGGTCACTGGGCGGCTGTCTCCATTGCTCATCTATCTAAGTATGATGACTGACTGGGAAATAATACCAGGATTGCTAAAAACAATAACACTCATAAATAACACTACAGTTAACGATGGAATCATCATCATTGTTGCCACTGGAGCCACAATTCAAAGGGAAAACCGGGTCATATTTCCAGCTGTCTGAGAGACTGATTCAGTGACCCAGTAAGCAGCAGCAGTTTGACCCAAAGCCTTATACACACACAGGAGATGGAACGTTCAGAGACACTATCATTCACTCACCCCACTTCCCTCAATCTTGGTTTTCGGTCTCATTTCCTCCATTAATTCTAGTCTACCTTACAACCCTGATGTCGCCTAGTCCGCCAGAACAACTGCCTTCTCTAAGCATCATGGAATTACCTTACTAAAACAACGGCCCTCTATGTAGATGGCTCTGCCTAATACGACTCCCCCCCTCCCCCTTATCCCCTGTCCCGGGCAGTGGGTGGGTGAGTGGGTGGGTGGGTGGGTGGGTGCAGCTGGACTCACAGGTGTCTGGCATGCAGGTCATGGTGGAAGGGCAGAGCTCTATGATACGGACCACTGGACCACCAGGCTCCACGGGAGGCACAGTGACCAGGGAGATCTACAGTGCATAGAGACAGAGACAGACAGGTAGTTAGACAGACAGACAGGCAGGCAGAGAGTTGAACCACACAAAGTGCAGTACTTCCGTAAGGCACTCACACACATAGCCCTAATGAAGTGTGCAAGACAATCCTAAAGCCTATTACCAAACTGCGGATTTAAGTAATGGGATCCCTGTAATCCTTTTATATGAATCCCCTGGATATTTTTATAATGTTCTTCTGGCTGGAGCAGAAGTGAAATCACTCCTTTTTAATCAAGTGGACAAATTTAAGGAAGGAAAGTGAGTGTCTCCCATGAGGGGGAAAGCAGGGGACAGAGAGAGCCAGGGCCAATCTCCCCTTGTATCTGCCTGGGTCCACACTGTCATTCAACAGGACCATCCAACAGCTAATTACAAAGAGACTGAATATTTAATTACGTTTTGTCACACAGTCATGTAATATTCCATTTCCACACTGTGTCAAGACACAGAAATTAATTTCATATTCTCCCTCCTACCTAATGAACAGAAATTACACACGGTTTTCCCTCTATTCTTTGTGAGTGATATTCGAAGCCGGATTTCAGCCGGGAAAAAATAACTTGTGTCATGAAAGAAGGGATGAAAATTCAATGGATATATTCTCTTCATGCAGGCACATTAGGGAATTGGATTTATCAGATTTCATTCAGCATGTTCTCTGCCATTATTCCATGTTTTTCATATCCATATTGAAGACTGGCACTCAAATTAGCGTACCTAATGCTAGCATGTCAATTCCCATTCTCCAGCCGGTAGGATTATTTTATCAAATTCCCAACCAGTCACAACAAACAGCATTAGGGGGCTTTCATTGAACTGGTTACTTTTTTCGCAATTTATTTGGAGATCTTAATGGTAGACAGCTGCACGTCAGAACTATTGTAATAATCTCCCAAATTAGCTTTGATGTTTTGTTGTTTCTTTGCTGAGAACTTGGACGCGGACCAAGAATCTATACAAATGTGATAGAGGGCATAAAATACAATGTAGTGCAAAACAATGACTAGCAAAAGTGCAGGCTCGGCAGGAATACCGCTAAGCCACACTGGATATCTGAATAGCATTTAAATGTATATTGTGCTTGTAAGGGGGAAATGTGTGTTCCCTTTGAATATGTCAAAACATCTCTTTGTATGGGACACAGAATAGGGGATGAGCCATATGGAGAAGAACACTGTACTACCTGCTGTTCAGAATCTGACGGCAGAATTGACCGGTCTGTGATGAGAACCGCTCTGGATATCTGCCTGTGAAAAGAGAGAGGATGGATGAAAGAGAGAGGGGGGGGGGGGGGCAGAACAGTAAAGAAAGAGAAAAAACAGCAGCACCAATATTATTCGATTACCACTGCACTGTTTTCCTTTCTCACTTTTTTTGTTGCGGTAGATTTTGGCTGTGAGACAGTCCAGTCTGGGCCATGCTACTGGGTTGGTTCTGGCCGGCCAGGCCAGTCATTCTGCGCTGCTGTCTTTAAGAGCATTAGTCATGCTCTAATTGGGGTCAGTGGTGTAAATGTCAAGGTGTCCATTGACAGAGGCAGGCAGGCAGGCAGCGGTGTGGCAAGTAGAGCAAAGCAGAGCAGAGCCCAGTCACCTGCAGCCAGGTCTGTGGAGTGTGTCTGGGATAAATCAGCCCTTTCACCATGACACCACTGAAACTGTCCTACCACACAAAGACCTGAGGAAAGATCCCCCTTATCGGCACTGAGACCCTCCTCCCAAGTTGACTCCACGAGAAATGTCACCTCTATGTTCTCACTAAATTAATGTGCCGCCTGAAACTGTCAGTGAGACCAGTATCAGTGGCTATGTAGAGAAGGTGCTGAGGAGGAGTACTGGGAGCCACTCTCACCTGGAATCTGTGTTCTTCCTCTGGTCTGCCCCGATGTAGCCATCCTCCACCACAAAGTGACTGCAGCTGATTCTCTGACCATGAGTGTCAATCACAGCTTTGCACCTTGAACAAGGAAAAAAACAGATTAAAGTACCTGTCCAGTGTTTCCAGATTTTTATGAAATATGACCTATAATTAATTACAATATGAGTGAAATAGTTTTACATTTTCAAAATGAATTAATTAATTTTTTCATTAAGTATGTCACCCACACCTGCTAATAACCCATCCACAACCGCCCTACTATACACGGAGTGTACAAACTCTTTCCATGATAGACTGACCAGGTGAAAGTTATGATCCCTTATTGATGTCACTTGTAAAATTCACTTCAATCAGTGTAGATGAAGGGGAGAAGACAGGATAAAGAAGGATTTTTAAGCCTTGAGACAATTGAGAAATGGATTGTGTATCTGTGCCATTCAGAGGGTGAATGGGCAAGACAAAATATTGAAGTGCCTTTGAACGGGGTATGGTAACAGGTGCCAGGCGCAACGGTTTGAGTGTCAAGAACTGCAACGCTGCTGAGTTTTTCATGCTCAACAGTTTCCCGTGTGTATCAAGAATGGTCCACCACCCAAAGGACATCCAGCCAACTTGACACAACTGTGGGATGCATTGGAGTCAACATGGGCCATCACATTGAGGCTGTTCTGATGGCAAAAAGGGGGTGCAACTCAATATTAGGAAGGTGTTCCTAATGTTTTGTATGCTCAGTGTATGCGAGTGAAAAGCTGAGGCTTGCACCCGATTCTAACCCGCAAATATAGAAAATGTACAGTTCCCTTTTTTGTCCCATTTGCCTCAGTGGGTCGACGTTAACTTGTTCTGCCCAAGTTCCCAAAAGCATTTGGTGATTGGCGTGTATTTGGCACGCATACAGTTAGGCCCTAAAGCTTAGGCTAAAAAAAACCTCAATGTAGCCCATAGATATGAAATACACTAGAACTATACATTCTAGTTTTTTAATGCATTGTTTTCTCTTTATTCAACCCGCCCGCCCTTCATCCAAACAATATTTCATGACCCTAAACCCGCCCCACGGATATAACAGCGGGGACTACGGCTATGAGTCAACCCGCGGATCACTAGTGTGGGCGTACCCCAACAACAGAATGGTGTGGGCGTATACTGGTCCTCCTCAGGAGTATGACATAACGGTCTGTTTGAGATACAAGTTTGTTTTGTCTCCAATTTATGCTTTGGCAACAAATACAAATATAGGATGAGTCAACAACATTATTTGGTTCTGAGTTAACTGAATATTACCTTTTAAAATTGAGATTTTCACTGGACAGTTACTTTAAAATAGGTCTCGTGAAAATATGTTGCTTTAGTCTGCGGATGCGGTTTTGATTTGCATACATTGAGTTGCTGCGGATCGGACTTTTCCCTAACCTTTTTTTCCTTGGACTAACGGGCCAAAAGCTTCTGCACCAGTTCGGATCAAGTTCTGTGCATGCGTTTCTTTACCTATACATTAAAACACACATTTCTTTGGTTTCCTTCCCTTCACATATCTCACGGTCAATCATGAATGATAATTCTTCAAGTTTTACCGGTGAAACGTGCATGCAGCATCTGCATTGCTGTTTTGAATGATGTACAGTGAGCACATGTTTTAGCATATGGTGTTAAAGGGACATCTCCAGCACCACAACATCAACATATGTGAAAATGACACGTTTCTATGTTTTGTGGGAAAAAAGATGGAAACACCAATGATATCATCGGTGTGCGTCATGACTTTAACCAATTATTAGTAGGCATTGCCTGCTAATTGGTTGATGATGTCATTGGAAACACTTATCTTCCAATGATGCAAAATAATTGTTTTTGTGAAACAAACAAGAAATAAGACAAAGAAACAGAACACTTGAGCGTGCATAACTATTCACCACCCCCAAAGTCAATACTTTGTAGAGCCAACTTTTGCAGCAATTACAGCTGCAAGTCTCTTGGGGTATGTCTCTATAAGCTTGGCACAGCTAGCCACTGGGATTTTTGGCCATTCTTCAAGGCAAAACTGCTCCAGGTCCTTCAAGTTGGATGGGTTCCGCTGGTGTAAAGCAATCTTTAAGTCGTACCACATATTCTCAATTGGATTGAGGTCTGGGCTTTGACTATGCCATTCCAAGACATTTAAATGTTTCCCCTTAAACCACTTGAGTGTTGCTTTAGCAGTATGCTTAGGGTCATTGTCCTGCTGGAAGGTGAACCTCCGTCCCAGTCTCAAATCTCAGGAAGACTGAAACTTGTTTCCCTCAAGAATTTTCCTGTATTTAGCGCCATCCATCATTCCTTTAATTCCAGTTTCCCAGTCCCTGCCGATGAAAAACATCCCTACAGCATGATGCTGCCACCACCATCCTGGTGTTCTCGGGGTGATGAGAGGTGTTGGGTTTGCACCAGACATAGCGTTTTCCTTGATGGCCAAAAAGCTCAATTTTAGTCTCATCTGACCAGAATACCTTCTTCCATATGTTTGGGGAGTCTCCCACATGGCTTTTGGTAAATACCAAACGTGTTTGCTTATTTTTTTCTTTAAGCAATGGCTTTTTTCTGGCCACTCTTCTGTAAAGCCCAGCTCTGTGGAGTGTACGGCTTAAAAGTGGTCCTATGGACAGATCCTCCAATCTCCGCTGTGGAGCTTTGCAGCTCCTTCAGGGTCATCTTTGGTCTCTTTGTTGCCTCTCTGATTAATGCCCTCCTTGCCTGGTCCGTGAGTTTTGGTGGGCGGCCCTCTCTTGGCAGGTTTGTTGTGGTGCTCCGTGGGATGTTCAAAGTTTCTGATAAAAAATTTTTATAACCCAACCCTGATCTGTACTTCTCCACAACTTTGTCCCTGACCTGTTTGGAGAGCTCCTTAGTCTTCATGGTGCCGCTTGCTTGGTGGTGCACCTTGCTTAGTGGTGTTGCAGACTCTGGGGCCTTTCAGAACAGGTGTATATATACACACTGAGATCATGTGACAGATCATGTGACACTTAGATTGCACACAGGTGGACTTTATTTAACTAATTATGTGACTTCTGAAGGTAATTGGTTGCACCAGATCTTATTTAGGGGCTTCATAGCAAAGGGGGTGAATACATATGCACGCACCACTTTTCCATTTTACTTTTTATACTTTTTTGAAACAAGTTATTTTTTACATTTCACTTCACCAATTTGGACTATTTTGTGTATGTCCATTACATGAAATCCAAATAAAAACCATTTAAATTACAGGTTGTAATGCAACAAAATAGGAAAAACACCAAAGGGGATGAATACTTTTGCAAGGCACTGTACCTGTGTATTTTGCGTAGTGGTGCACACTGTTGAGTTTTGGCCACATTAAAGAAACATTGTGGTGTTTTTGTATTACAGTAACGTTATACTATGCTATTATATTCAGTTCTCTTATGTAGAATACTATAATTATGTGATCTTGCAGACATTGATTCAGCTTTGATCTAACTTTATTGAACAAGCACCATTCGCCACAGTAGGCTGTTCTCTACGAGTAGAGCAGAGCCTGTGGGTAAGCAGAGAATAAACAGATAAACACATGACCAGAAGGGACCTTTAGTTGGATCTGCGGCCACGGCATAATTTTTTTGGGCCAACACAAAAATAAACACATCAATGTTATACCAAACAACTTTACCGACCTGAGCTGTATGCTTCATGAGATGGCATTAATTAATGCCCTTTGTCAAGAAAGGGAAAACAGTAGGCATTACAGCCTATAGTCCAGCACAAAAGCGAAGGATTGTTTTGGCAGCTTCTCAATGCACCACCGTCGAAACAAATACAAATGGCCTGGGCTGATTCATTAATCTTTGTAAGAAAAGCCAGAGTTGAATGCGTTCTCATTTTTTGACCAAACAATGCCCAGCACAAAACAGAACCGAAAACATTAGCCAGCGTGAGTGAGGTGGGACTAGGAGAGGCAGGGTGAGGGGAGGAGAGGCTCCCTCAGCCCCCAGTCCTGGGCAGCAGCAGTGTGACCTTCCTGCGTTGCTCCTCTCAGACAGAGGGGGAACGGTGGGGAATCTGTCTGCTTGTTATGTCAAGAGTTATAAATGTGCTTTATAGGGCTCATTATCCAGACTAATGTGCTAGGGGTGACATCCTTGAAATGGACTTTCACAATAAAGGAGAAGGCAAGTGGCACTCCAAAACGCTCGCTCCCACCCCTCTCCAAACCGCACCCCTCCGAATAATCCTCACCTAGGAGAGATTGACTGCAGGATGGACTGTTTATGTAAATGAAGATTTATTTACTAGGAGGGGGCTTGGCAGTGGGAGCTGGCAGTTCAAATCAATCCTAAGCCAATGGAGTGGGATATGGGATATAGGAGACGTGATACAGGCCACAACCTTCACTTCCCTGAGAGAACACCCGCTGGTTTTTAAGCAAAAATACTGCACATCCTGGAAAGTACCTACACTAGTGCTATATATCTAAATAAATAAGTTAATATTTTAATCTTAAATAGGATGATAAAGTAAATGATGTGCTTCAACACTAATGTATATCCTCTGTCATCCACACGCCTGCAGACATAACCTGACCCTAGACATAAAAGGTAAGGTCCAGCTTGTCAGTGGGCATAAACCTCGAACTAACCACTAATAGTAGCTCTAATGATTACCGTCCCCCTACCCACAAGGCCACGGCAGGATTTATTTATCATAACTGTAGTTCATAAACAGTGTTCATAAAGCATGCAGGGCCTATCCATAGCAATCATGGTCACAGCCTTACACACAGCCATGCATAGTTATGACTTTGATAAACATCTCAACTGGAAGGAACTCTCTACTTTGGCCAAGTGAAACAAACTACCTCCCCCCATGACTTACTGTACATTACTGTCACAGTCAAGTTCTCCTCTGTTGGAAGTGACGATGATCAAAGCGCATTAAGACTAAGGGATGGATAGTGACAGGAGTGAAGTGGCTGGTCAGTTGAGTCAGGATAGACAGACAGGCAGACAGACAGGCGGTGCAGGTGACTGCTGTAATAGTATAGAGGAGCAGGTCCAGGACAGGACAGAGGAGTGGCAGCTGGGATGTTAGGTCACATAATCCACTGCTGGTGCTGCATTATTAATCTCCCTCTACCCTTTTCAGCTTTATGTACGTAATAAGAGGAGACATACGGAGGTAATTTATGACGCCAGGGAAATTAAAATCATTGTTCAGCCTGGCAGACACCTTGCCAGTTTTTTCACCTTCTCAAAACTTTTTTCCACCGATGATGTATTAGGCTTGCCTTGAAAAAGGAGCCGAGTGGACACCTGTACGGCGCATGTGGAGAGCAGAGCGGCCCTCTCGGCCATGCCTCACTGCTTGTTTATGGACTTCTCTCTAGTGCTGACTGACATGGTCTTGGATCATCTCCAACCTCACCTTAAACCCTAAGCCTTTCACACAGAAAACTAGGAGAGACCACTGCTGGTTCTGATTTAGGTCTGTGCTTTAGCGCTTGCCATTGACTTTGCACATATCAATGTCTTAAATGGTGCTTCTAATTAGAGAGGACCAGTCAGTGTGTGGCACATTAGGCTTCACAGAGCACTAGGTAATAAGTAGATAAAAACCTGAACCATGAGCACTCTAGGAAATCCCAACCGGCTGCACGTGGATACGTTAAATGAAAAAGAGAGCCGTAACCAAAGTCTTGAGTACCATTAGCATTTTGCACAAAGAGGGACACATTATCAAAGGAACTGCACTTTCCAGTCTGAGGTCCCAGAAGGCAGTATTTCCCCAATGGCCAACATCAGAGACCGGCTGTAGAGACAGGGGCTGGGAGTTTTAGTCTTTGGGCCGAGTATTAGAGAGAGAGAGAGAGCATCCAGTATTACTCCTCACTACACTGCTCCACCACAAGATTCCTGGCCCCCAGGGTCACCCACCACCAAGATGAAAGAATCTCAATATCGAGCCCTCCAAAAAAAAACTAATCTAACCTAGTTTATGACAACAATCTACCTTTGAAACTCATTAAAGAGCTTTCTAGTATGGCCTGACGCACATTATCAGCGCAGATTAATCAAGGGAGACTGGAGATGAACTCTCATTTTTTAAGAGGCAGTAACAGAGGGCTTTTTTGTCTTCAGATGAAAATCAATTAGTGGAGGTAAGGCCACGAGGAAAAACCAGCATCACTCATCGCCAGCCCAAGTGGCAGGGCCTGTGATTTGTCTTCCGAGCTTGGCTGCTTCAGGTGGGTGGGGGGGTGGGGGGGGGGGGGAGTTGGTTCTCCCGTCTCCCAGAGAATTAATTTTGTATCTATATTCCGGACCCCCTCTTCTTTCCTTGTTTTGGAGGACCACATACACAAATTACTTCTAATCGAGGTTTCTCCCTGATTGGAGGGCAGGAACAAAGGGGCTTGAAGAGAACAGGGCAGCTTTTTGTTATCTCAGCCCTGAACACAAATCCATCTCTTTTACTGCTTTGTTCTCACACTTTTTTTGTTCTCACACTTCTTTATTGTGGAGGGGGGGAGGGGAGGGGGGGGACTGGCGTGTGTATGTGTTGTGGTGGATTGGCGATGGAATACTCACTTGCCGGACTCCTTGTCCAGAACCAGACACTGAACTGAGTGGCGAAGACAGTAGATCCCTCCAAACACAGCACACATCCTGAGAAAAATACACAAAGAGACAAGTCCTTTAAGACAGTGGCCAGTCAGTGAAGACAAACATACAGATATTCACTGCAATACACTATAAAGTATTCCAAAATGTCTATTTGACAAATAAATGTTACTTTTTTCAAATCCCCTCATACGACTTAATGTGGTTACAATCACTATAAAGACTGTGGATGATCCTTGCTTTAAACCAAGTATACTTGGGTTTAATTACCTTTAAGTAAAACAGTGGCGAACACAGTGCAGACTGTGTGCTTTGGCCAGGTTAATGTGCGCTCAGACACAGCTGCATACGGACAGCACAGGTCTATGAGCCTGGCACTGGCTCTTTCAACACACTGGGAATAACGGATAGAGATGGCTGGGGTTTAAGGGAGCGCTGCCAGCTGTGAGGGACTGGGGAGAGCAGGTCTAGAGAAACAGAGGGAGGAATGGAGTGAAGGGACCAAGTCATGCCTACCTCACAGACTACCACCACCGGTGCTCCTAAAAAGATTTGTACCTGCCCCATAGATGAATTACCAGACATGGCATCTTAATAAAGCATCAAGAGGATAAAGAAAATGTGAAAAAAAACTCACAGGCAATCATCCAGGCCCATCGCATGCCCTCTACAGAACCCCATTCAGACGCCAGGGAACCCCTTTTGATGTCATTAACCCTAACTGACAGACGTTTAAGCTGATATTACTCTAATTAACTAGCCTCTGTCTGTCCCAATGATGCCATCCCCCGGCTGAAAAGGCGCCGCTGGAGCGCGGCCGGCCCTGACTCGCCCCCCTTTGGCTCCTGCGACATCACTCTGCATCGCTGCTAAATTAACAGTTGTGAAAATCTGGGACCCCTCTGAGCCCCCGGTCTTTATAGCCTCTAAATGGCATTTCAGTTCCTATCAAGGCGGGAATCAGGGGACGTGATTTTTTAATACGGTGGCAAAACAATAGGGGCCATTAATAGCCGAACTCCGTGACAGTGCGCTCGGCAATGATTTATGAGTTTGTGTATAATTTGATTATGCTATTAATTCCACTGATTACAGCTGCAGCTAGTGTGGAGAAGGTCACATCCAAAATAAATCTTCGACAACCCTCCTCTCCCCTCTTATACAAAACAACTGCCTCCAACTAGTTATTTCTGTAATTAAAAGGTAATGTAACAAGAAGCAAAAATAAGCTTGAGGCTCTAGCGGCAGCATCTCAAGCAAGGCAGAAATAAATAGAACAGCCTTAAAGGGTGGCAGTCCTAATTTTCCTGACAACTCAATCCCATGCCTTAGATGATGGCAGAGATTGTATTTAGAAGTTTACTCTGGACGTGTCCACCTCCAGGTCTTGAATGCTGCAGTGTTTGCTAGACTTCTCATCTTTCAGTGATGACAGTGACGTCTGGGATGTTTCTCCCAACCTTTGACAAACCTGTAGGGCCAGCAAGTGTTGTGCATACCTCATCCTCAGACGGGAGAAACACTAGAAATGATCCATTCAGTTCCTTTACAGTTCAGAGATAAATCTAAAGTGTATGAGTGAGTGGGTGTATTGAGGAGCACTTCTTAGCAATCCCATGTGCTTTAAGCTCACTTTGGGTCTCCTGAAACTCTGTAGATGTTCCAGTGTTGAACTAAGCCCCGACTCAACCCTTAGAAGGCCCGGTGGAAGAGAAGCTGCAGGTTCTGTAGATGCATGCATTCTTCTAGCACGGCCAAGCAGGAGAAAAGGGTGGGAGGTTTTAAAGGGTCCTGGGAGGATTTCAGATGGCTTTCAGAAGGTTTTGCCGGCAGTCACAGATGTGGACAATAAATCCTCAATGTCCAGGACACGCTAAACAAACAAAATGACGGTGCGTACACAGAGCACTTACCTGTCAAGATCATTGCTGGAAAATTCTGCTGTAATCTGGGGAGCTGGGAGGCAGAGTGGGGGGCTAATGGTTGGCCAATAATTAAAAGAAAACAAAGCGCCATGCCGCCTGGCGAGGCCTTCTGCACAAAATTAAATCCTGTTGGATCCGAATAAATTAGATGTTTATTGCTCCATGAGTAGAAAAAAAAAAGATGAGAGGAAATATGATCTGTGACTGAACGTTCCACAGACAATCATCTGCACTAATTAATGCATTTCCCCATCCTCTCAATCTGTTTCATTCTGACTGCTGTCTGATTGGAGCGTGGCAATACGGCATGCAAATCAAAGCGTGTCACGGCCAAATTCTTTTTCAGGTTAAATGAATGGAGGTCTACCACCCCACCCCACCCCACCGCGGTCATGCGCCATAGAACGGTGCGAGGGACAGAGGCAGAAGACTGACTACTGCAGTCAAAGTGCCAAAGGTTATTTAGAAATTAAAAAGAGTCTTCCCTGTCAAAACTTGAGGAATAATCCAGGCAAGGACACAAAAGCATTTCATCACTTTATTAGCAGTGCTGCTCGCTGATCTGTGAATAACCTGAGAGAGTGAGCATTATTGAGTTTGCACAGCCATCTATCCATCCATCACCTGCAAGCAGGTATCACATTGATGGATGATCCCGCCTCCCTACCACCCCTCACTCACACTGCTCTCTAAGACTTTTTCTCCCGCTTCCTGACTCCCTGCACCACTTCTTTTGTTTCATCCCTTTCAAACTCTACCTTACCCATCAGACATTTTCTACTCTTTCCTCTTGTTCTCTCCATCCATTTCTTTACTGTACTAACACTCCAAAACACAACCATTGTAACCTTAGCTACCTACACTATTTGGGAGGAGACACTGAGAACAAAATTACCTCGACTACAGACCAACAGAGTCAGGGTTTGAGCACAAGGTGAGACATTCTGTTTTGATTCCAAAATAGAAAACTAGGGAGATTAAAGTAACAGCTCAATTCCAACGCTTATCACCCGTAGAACAAAAATAAAAGACATGGCAATTCAGTATGGATGAACAACAGATATTCACTGCCACTAAGAGAGAGAGAGAGTTGTGTGGTGACAGACAGGTGTGATCATGTGTCGGCTCTTTACCTTGCTTATCTGAACGTCAGAGGAGTAGATTAGGGGGAAGGAGTGGGAATCAAATATGCAAATGACTGAGCCTCGAGCAAAGGAGCTTTATTAAAATTCAAAATGTCAGGTAGAAGATTAATCCAAACTCCATCTCCTACATGTTGGAGTTATGTCTCTACATGTACCCTGACAGGTAAAGGTAGAAGAGTAAGACTATGTATTAATAATTGTCTATGAATTACTAGAACATTATAGAAACAATTATCTCTGGATAGTTTATTATAATATAATAAGCAACAACAATTCTGCAATAATTGCTTCAACCAAAACCAGTTTCTTACGGAATAATGCATTTCACAGCTCAAGCACATATTGCCCTCATTTCCAATACGATTCATTTAAGGTTAAAACCTGGTCTGTGTTATTACGTCTCTGAACCGTGAGGTGTGCAGCCAATCTCTATGATGGATTTAGTAGGATGCAAATTGATTGCATCCCAGATAGATCGGTGGCATGGCACTGACTTTGACAGCACTGCATGTGCAACAGAACATTACCTTCCATCTCCAGGGTCAAGGCAGCTCCACTCGGGATGTTTGCACCCATGCATTCAGCTCAACACACCTCCATGGTGTGGATATATCCCATTCAGAGGATGGAAACACATGCAGGCAAGCAGAGTCATATGCACAACCCCGAGGCAAGTGTTCAAGGCTAGGCTATATCCAGCGGCATCCAGCCTTTGGGGAGCTGTTCTCCCATTGCCTGGCTGTGAGCCATCATGGCCCCTGCAGCAGTATGAACAGCAGCCGTCGGGGACACATCCTGAAGCTCACTCGGCTCTAAGTGCTACAGTTTCACAGGAGAGCTCCCTGAAGACCTACAGTGTTAAAAGCTGCCATCCAGAGCCCAGCGGAGCAGAGCAGAGAGCCTCGGAGTCAGAGCACAGACCCAGGCCTCATCCCCATTCCCCTAATCACAAAGGTCACAGAGGTCACCTACCATCTCTAGTACCATGTAAATGTAGGTCTGGCCCCCAATACAAACACATAGTTGGAATTCAGTGACTTTACAGTCGTGAGTACATTCTGTTATGTACAGTAGGATAGACTTATGATAGACTCATCATCATGTACCTGTGGTGTGAGGCAAGCACAGACACGAGGAGCCACTGACCTGCAGAAGCACTGAGGGATCTCCCCCAGGCCGTAGAGGGGGAACAGGAAGGGCGTGTTGCCGTAGCGCCCCAGACAACGCAGGAAGTGCTGAGTGGCTCTCAGGCCTTCCACCGTGCACACCTCCGGGATCACCATGGCAATGGAGTGCAGGATGAAATGCTGCAGGTTCGCTGTCAGCTTCTTGGTCTGCAGAAAGTCCCAGAAGGAATGCTCAGAGAAGTCTGGAGAGGAGAGGAGAGCAGGGAATATCACCGGAGAGAAGGTAGGAGTGAGGGACAGAGGCCTAAAATGGAGAGGGATCAAATAACTTCATCGATCCACATTTCATTTGTCACATGCTTCGTAAACAACAGGTGTAGACTAAGTGAAATGCTTACTTACAGGCCCTTCCCAACAATGCAGAGAAAGAAACTATAAAAATAATACACTGAACAAAAATATAAAATGCAACGTGTAAAGTGTTTGTCCCATGTTTCATGAGCTGAAATAGAAGATCCCAGAAATTGTCCATACACACAAAAAGCTCTAAAATGTTGTGATCAAATTTGTTTACATCCCTGTTAGTGAGCATTTCTCCTTTGTCAAGATAATCCATCCACCTGACAGGTGTGGCATAACAAGAAGCTGATTAAACAGCATGATCATTACACAGGTGCACCTTGTGTTGGGGACAATAAAAGGCCACTTTAAAATTGTGCAGTTTTGTCACAACACAATGCCACAGATGTCTCAAGATTTGAGGGAGCATGCAATTGGCATGCTGACTGCAGGAATGTCCACCAGAGCTGTTGCCAGATAACGGAATGTTCATTTCTCTACCATAAGCAGTGTCCAATGTCGTTTTAGAGAATTTGGCAGTACGTCCAACCGGCCTCACAACTGCAGACCATATGTAACCGCGCCAGCCCAGGACCTCCACATCCAGCTTCTTCACCTGTGGGATCCTCTGAGACCAGCCACCCGGACAGCTGATGAAACTGGGTTTGCACAACCAAAGAATTTCTGCACAAACTGTCAGAAACCGTCTCAGGGAAGCTCATCTGCGTGCTCGTCGTCCTCACCAGGGTCTTGACCTGACTGCAGTTCGGCGTCGTAACCGACTTCAGTGGGCAAATGCTCACCTCCGATGGCCACTGGCACGCTGGAGAAGTGTGCTCTTCACGGATGAATCCCGGTTTCAACTGTACCGGGCAGATGGCAGACAGTGTATGAAGTCCGGTGGACGAGCGGTTTGCTGATGTCAACGTTTTGAACAGAGTGCCCCATGGTGGTGGTGGGGTTATGGTATGGGCAGGCATAAGCTACGGACAACAAACACAATTGCATTTTAAAGATCTTACTCACATCGGCTACGGAGAGCGTGATCATACAGTTGTCCGGAACAGCTGGTACTCTCATGCATGGTTCAGTGTTGCTTGCCTCGAAGCGAGCATGGAAGGCATTTAGCTCCTCTGGTAGGCTCGCGTCACTGGGCAGCTCGCGGCTGGGTTTCCCTTTGTAATCCGTGATAGTTTGCAAGCCCTGCCACATCCAACGAGCGTCAGAGCCGGTGTAGTAGGATTCGATCATAGTCCTGTATTGATGCTTTGCCTGTTTGATGGTTCGTCGAAGGGCGTAACAAGATATCTTATAAGCGTCCGGATTAGTGTCCCGCTCCTTGAAAGATGCAGCTCCAGCTCAGTTTGGATGTTGCCTATAATATATGGCTTCTGGTTGGGATATGTACGTACGTTCACTGTGGGGATGACATTGTCGATGCACTTATTAATGAAGCCGATGACTGATGTGGTAAACTACTCAATGCCATCGGATGAATCCTGGAACATATTCCAGTCTGTGCTAGTGAAACAGTCCTGTAGCTTAGCATCCGATTCATCGGACCGCTTCCGTATTGAGCGCATCACTGGTACTTCCTGTTTGAGTTTTTGCTTGTAAGCAGGAATCAGGAGGATAGCATTATGGTCAGATTTGCCAAATGGAGGGCGAGGGAGAGCTTTGTATGCGTTTCTGTGTGTGGAGTAAAGGTGATCTAGAGTTTTTTCGCCTCAGGTGACATGTTGGTAGAAATTAGGTATGACGGATTTCAGTTTTCCTGCAGTAAAATCACAGGCCACTAGGAGTGCCGCATCTGGAGGAGCATTTTCTTGTTTGCTTATGGCCCTCGTTCAGTGCGGTCTTTGTGCCAGCATCGGTTTGTGGTGGTAAATAGCAAAGAGACACACACCTCTCCCCTTGAGCTTACCCGACACTGCCGTTCTGTCCTGCAGATTAATAGAAAAAAATCTGCTAGATGCATATGATCCATGTCCTTGTTCAGCCACCACACGGAGAAACATAGGATATTAAGGTTCTTCAGGTCCCGTTGATATGATCATCTCGATCGACGCTCGTCCAGTTTGTTCTCCAGTGATTGTACGTTCGCCAAAAGAACGGAGGGTAGAGGCGGTTTATGTACTCGCCGACTTAGTTTCGTCAGGGTGCCCGTATGTCGGCCTCTCTAATGCCACCATTTTATTTTTCAAGTCTCTGTGATTATGGCATGGTCCAGGGTGAGCAGTATGTGCTACGCCTCTGACTCTTTGAAGTAGAAATCTTCATCCAAATCGAGGTTAGTGATCACTGTTCTGATGTCCAGAAGCTACTTTCGGTCATAGGAAACAATGGCGGAAACATTATGTACAAAAAAGTTAAGATCAGCGCAAAAAACCCCCACAAAATAGCAGAATTGGTCAGGAGCCCGTAAAATGGCTACTATCCATCGCAGCGCCATTCTGAGAAAGTAGAGGAGTGAGGGATAGAGGTTTGAGATGGGGAGAGAGAGCACTGAAAAGAGAGCACCAGGGGTAGAGGACTGGGATAGGTAGAGAGAGAGCACCGGGGGTAGATGACTGGGATAGGGAGAGAGAGCACCGGGGGTAGATGAATGGAGAGAGAGCACCGGGGGTAGATGAATGGAGAGAGAGCACCGGGGGTAGAGGTCTGGAGAGAGAGCACCGGGGGTAGAGGACTGGAGAGAGAGCACCGGGGGTAGAGGACTGGAGAGAGAGCACCGGGGGTAGAGGACTGGAGAGAGAGCACCGGGGGTAGAGGACTGGAGAGAGAGCACCGGGGGTAGAGGACTGGAGAGAGAGCACCGGGGGTAGAGGACTGGAGAGAGAGCACCGGGGGTAGAGGACTGGAGAGAGAGCACCGGGGGTAGATGACTGGAGAGAGAGCACCGGGGGTAGATGACTGGAGAGAGAGCACCGGGGGTAGAGGACTGGAGAGAGAGCACCGGGGGTAGAGGACTGGAGAGAGAGCACCGGGGGTAGAGGACTGGAGAGAGAGCACCGGGGGTAGAGGACTGGAGAGAGAGCACCGGGGGTAGAAGACTGGAGAGAGAGCACCGGGGGTAGAGGACTGGAGAGAGAGCACCGGGGGTAGAGGACTGGAGAGAGAGCACCGGGGGTAGAGGACTGGAGAGAGAGTACCGGGGGTAGAGGACTGGATATGGAGGATGGATGGATGGATGGATGGATGGATGGATGGATGGATGGATGGATGGATGGATGGATAGATGGATAGATAGATATATATAGAGAGAGTTCCTACCCTGGTACTCCTCTGGGTGCTGCTCAAAGTCCAGGCAAAAGGTGAGGAACTTCATCAGCATCCTCTTCTCCACCACTGTCAGCTGCTTGCTGCCAAAAACATCAGCCCGGGAACAGGGCACCTGCAGACAGCCAGGGAGAGGGAGAGAGAGAAAGAGAGAATGTAATGGTGAGGTTGTGTGAGGGAGGTGTAAAAATAAAAAGGCAGGGGGGAGGGGAGAAGTGAGAGAGTGAGTGGGGTCAAATATGGGACAGCTATCTTGAGCAGAGTGATTGAAGTACTCAAATTAAAAACCCATGGTCATAACCACCACTCAGTAAATCAAACGTAAACACATTGCTGAACAACATTTTATATTATCTTCACAGAGATTAAATAGCTGTTTGCGCCACAGCATTAATCTGATATTAATCGGAAAGTCACTTAAATCTGACAGATCTTACATGGCAGTTCAGCATCTGTGTGTGTATGTGTGGTGCTCTACCTGTTCCACCTTCCCGTCGCGGTAGGTAAGGATGCGGGTGATGTTTTTAAACTCTGCGTATCGGCTGACGTTGGACTTGATGAGGAGGTCCACCAGTGAGCCACGAGAGAACATGAGCTGGGGACGGTCACAATTTAACGAATAAGCAACAGAAGGACCTGCATCAAATATATTTACAGTGAGGGAAAAAAGTATTTGATCCCCTGCTGATTTTGTATGTTTGCCCACTGACAAAGACATGATCAGTCTATAATTTTAATGGTAGTTTTATTTGAACAGTGAGAGACAGAATAACAATGAAAAAATCCAGAAAAACACATGTCAAAAATGTTATAAATTGATTTGCATTTTAATGAGGGAAATAAGTATTTGACCCCTCTGCAAAACATGACTTAGTACTTGGTGGCAATCACAGAGGTCAGACATTTCTTGTAGTTGGCCACAAGGTTTGCACACATCTCAGGAGGGATTTTGTTCGACTCCTCTTTGCAGATCTTCTCCAAGTCATTAAGGTTTCGAGGCTGACGTTTGGCAACTCGAACCTTCAGCTCCCTCCACAGATTTTCTATGGGATTAAGGTCTGGAGACTGGCTAGGCCACTCCAGGACCTTAATGTGCTGCTTCTTGAGCCACTCCTTTGTTGCCTTGGCCGTGTGTTTTGGGTCATTGTCATGCTGGAATACCCATCCACGACCCATTTTCAATGCCCTGGCTGAGGGAAGGAGGTTCTCACCCAAGATTTGACGGTAAAGTTGTCCTGTCCCCTCCATGTTTGACGGTGGGGATGGTGTTCTTGGGGTCATAGGCAGCATTCCTCCTCTTCCAAACACGGCGAGTTGAGTTGATGCCAAAGAGCTCGATTTTGGTCTCATCTGACCACAACACTTTCACACAGTTCTCCTCTGAATCATTCAGATGTTCATTGGCAAACTTCAGACGGCCCTTTCTTGAGCAGGGGGACCTTGCGGGCGCTGCAGGATTTCAGTCCTTCACGGCGTAGTATGTTACCAATTGTTTTCTTGGTGACTATGGTCCCAGCTGCCTTGAGATCATTGACAAGATCCTCCCGTGTAGTTCTGGGCTGATTCCTCACCGTTCTCAACTCCACGAGGTGATATCTTGCATGGAGCCCCAGGCCGAGGGAGATTGACAGTTATTTTGTGTTTCTTCCATTTGCGAATAATCGCACCAACTGTTGTCACCTTCTCACCAAGCTGCTTGGCGATGGTCTTGTAGCCCATTCCAGCCTTGTGTAGGTCTACAATCTTGTCCCTGACATCCTTGGAGAGCTCTTTGGTCTTGGCCATGGTGGAGAGTTTGGAATCTGATCGATTGATTGCTTCTGTGGACAGGTGTCTTTTATACAGGTAACAAACTGAGATTAGGAGCACTCCCTTTAAGAGTGTGCTCCCTTATATATATCCATTTAGCAGACCTTTTATCCAAAGCGACTTACAGTCAATTGCGGCATACATTTTTTGTGCATGGTGGTCCCGTGATCGAACCCCCATATACCCTTGGCGTTTCAAGCGCCGTGCTCTCCACTGAGCACAGAGGACTCGTTACCTTAAAGACACCTGGGAGCCAGAAATCTTTCTGATTGAGAGAGGTCAATACTTATTTCCTCATTAAAATGCAAATCATTTCTAACTTTTTGCCATGGCGTTTTTCAGATTTTTTTTGTTTTGTTATTCTGTCTGTCTCTCACTGTTCAAAATAACCTACCATTAAAATTATAGACCGATCATTTCTTTGTCAGTGGGCAAACGTACAAAATCAGCAGGGGATCAAATACTTTTTTCCCTCACTGTAGCTGCATCATTTAAATGGTCTAGCCTTAAAGTTCAATCAAACATTAGGTTACAGGGAAAAATATGTTAATTTGGAGCATTGCAGCACACAAGTCACAAAGTCATCGAATCCTAAACTTGAATCTGCCCCTCAATGTTTTAACACCTCCATATACTGTACCAACCTTGGACACAAGGTCAATGTTGAACCTCCGTCCCTCCTTAACAATCTTGGTATAGGTGATCTTTTTCTTGGGCTCTGGTTGGCTCTCAGCTGGAGAGGGGCTGGCCTGCTGCTGCTCCTCCCCCTGGGTCTCCTCTGCCTGGCTGGGCATCTCTCCCTCCTGCCGGGTCTGCTCTGCCCCAGCATCAGGTCCAGAGGCTGGAGACGACTCATCACTGGCCACCACTGGCTCTTCCTCCTCCACAGAACTGCTCTCTACCAGACACCTCTCTACCTCCCCCTCAGAATCTGGTGTTTGAGGGACAGACCAGGCTGCAGCCGTAGCATCCTTCACCTCCTCCTCAGGCTCCTCACTGCCAACAACACAAAGCAGGTTAGGAGGACATTAAACAGGTTTGTAGGTGTGGAAACAATACTATATTGGCCATTGGCAGTGCTGTGTAAGCTAATTCCCGTAGGAAGAGTTTTCTGTAGTCCTCTATTCTAAATGAAGCCCTCATCAAGAAGACTGTTTGAAAATGAGAATAATGGAGAGGTAGGGCAGAGGTTTGTCCAATGTGTGTGTGTGTGTTGTGTGTGTGTGTGGACCTGTATTCAGTGGTACCTCGCATAGCAGAACACTTCTAGGTTGGAGATGGACGTGTCAATAGAGCTGAGCGCCAGGGCCTCCTCTCCCTCCTCCAGCTTCTCCTTCCAGTCCTCCTGTACAGCCTCCTCACTCTGGCCAGCCTGCTGACACAGGAGACAGGCTACAGCTACAGAAAATGTGTGACATCCAAATGGACACACAGTATATTGCACACGCACACAAACACGCACGCACTGTAGGACATCGTGAAGCCATTACCCAGGCCTCTCACAAGAACCCTGAGGACAATCACAGTTAACACATTATTTTCTAAAAAGGTCAAAGCTGGCGGACCATTTTATATTCACACCTCCAGTTAGTCACATTGGTTAAATCAGTTAATGTCATGCTTTGTGATAATGTGCTACATTTAAAAGATAATAGGAAACACAGCTAAACTCACTTTGTACTCCTCGATCCAGGACAGCAGTCCATTGAATGTGAAACTGGCCCAGTTTCCAGCATAGTAGTTTCTCCTGTAGGATTGAGCATACAGTATATGTAAGAATTGGGATCATGTCGTTGTTCATAACTTATACACAATCATGCACCAGTAACTTTTCAATGAATCAATTTTACTGAACAAGTGTACAAAATATTCACCCCAGTACACTTGGTGTGAAAATGTACTTTTAAAATAGGCTGTGTGGAATTTGTATCTAAAATAATTATCACACAGAATGAACGCCTAACCAGAGCACCATCTCTCCCCAGTGCAATCCACCATACCATTACCCACCCACTTCACCCCCCTCTTACTCACCTGTCAACATGCAAGACCCTCTGTCCAACACGGGAGCATGCCGCTGCAATGACAGACTCAGACAGGCCTGAAAATGAACAGAGACAGGAGACACATTGTCAGGCCCAAGAGGAAGCCATTCAACCCATTATTTCCACGTGGCTTTTGTCTGAATGGAATAGTTTACATTTAATTTGAGACATTTTTATTCAACCTGAACCTATTGGCAAGCAATTCACTGCATTGACGGCGCCTGCTGAATCGGGAAGTGATGAGTATTTCTTTGAGTGTATTGCTTATTCTATTGTCAATGGGAAAGAAATGTCTAGAATGAGACTCTTATGGCATTTAGAGTCCTAGTGGAGTTGGCAGTTGAACAAGGTTCATGAACAATAGGCATCAAATAAAATGACGAGTACCATTTGAATAGCACTACGTTTTCAACAGCACAAATGTCTCCTGCCCCGAGGGGGAGAAAGCGGTATCCTCTGACATGAAGTGCACATCAAGGAAAAATCCACCTGGTATTCATTTAGCCAAGAGAAAGATCCTAATTCATTCCGGAGGTTTCCGTTTCCTAGAGAAGACAAAAGGTAAAATGGCCAGGCGGAGGAGTCAGACCACAGAGATAGGGGTTAGGTAAGCGAGATTGAGAGGCAGTGCCACAGATAGAGCCCAGAAAACAACTCCATTAAGCCACCAAGGCATCCTGGTCTCTCCATCGCTCTTCTTTCTCATCTGGCCTTGCACTGTCCCATCTCACACACACAATGGGAAAGTGATTTATTCTCATGTACATGCCGCCACTTCCAAACCTCTCACTGTGTCATTTAACAGAGAGCATCTCTCAGTCACAACAGAAAGCCAGAGGCTTACCCTGTTTCACCTTGCATTGTATGCTCTCATTCCACATAGGCTACTCAGTCCAATTGTGTCATCACCATTTCAACATTAGGCGTATAGGCTACCAAAGATTTAGACAGCTGTAGGCTATGGTTGCATCACCAAAGATAATGCAAGCACATGGAGTAAAGCTATCCAGTGTTCACTCGTATCAACGTTGGGACAGCACAAAGAAAGATTAAAGTGGGCACTTAGGTATAAAATACACTCTCTCAATTAACTACCCCGTGTAAAAAAACAAACAAAAAAAAACAGTTGTATCTCTACCCACCAGGCCATTCTTGAGATGTTTTTAAAAAGTGTAAATAACCTCCGATGCCATCTTTTAATGCCATTTATCGTGTCCGGTATTGATTTTCCACATCATGTTTGCTAAAGACAAACATTACCTGCCATAAAGCACTGATGCCACACAGACAGGCCTCACGATAAATAATAGATCGGGGCCGGCAGGACTTTGATGACCGAGCAAAGCCCGAAATGCTTTCAGCAGGAATTGTATGAAATCATAAATCACTCTTCATTTCAGAGAACATTCCAAAATGGATTCTCTCTCTCCACCTTGAAAGTCATTTGACGTGTTATTTATAGTCTGGCTGAGAGCGCTTGGGAAGGCAAAAGAGACTAGCAGGCCTTCAGCAGACAGAGCAGAATGGGAAGGCACTTCAGTCAACACCACCCCGTTCCATCCTCTTCTCTGTCACTCGTATATGCACACACGCGCACTGTTAAAATAGGATTCAAATGAAATTCGGCCATTCTATTTAGTCTAACTGTGAAGTCTTCATAGTTGATAGACTTTCTTACCTTATGTGGTAGGCCCATCTTGTTTTAATATCCAGCTTACAATACAAGAAGATGATGACCCAGTGACTTGAATCGCCATTGTGTTTTGTGTTTGAGTCGTTCCATGTCATTTCAGCAAGCCATGACACTCACCATCTTATTTTGTTGAAATATCATTTGAGTTCTGAGAAATTAAGATAATTGATTGCACCCAAATTGGCAATTTTAATTTATAGGATTCATATAATATTAAATAATTATAGTACCTAACATCCGATTTGGGCCAAACTTTTTTCTAACAATGAGTAAGACATGAGGAATCCAAAGAAATTGTCAAAAATCCCCCCACGGATCCCCCACACACTTTGTCAATCCCACCCAAACAACGAGTATACAGTTTCAGTTTTCTATGTCTGACAAGTAGTATGGAGCTGTGGCTCGGAGTATTGTTTCTTCATCCTATGCAATGTATTCTCAGTGAATTGTATAGGTTTTTTCCCCTGTTCAGAGAAATCATTGAAGTTGTTGGGTTTATGTCCCATTCTACATCCTGATATTACCAGGTTCTGACCACTAGATGGTGCTGTTCCTGCTATTAGGTGATTACTTTTTAAATAATTCCTCCCCCCCACCCCCCCTTTGCTAGGTGGAATTGAGCTACAGTGGTAGTACAGGTGCAATGCTGAAAGGGAGGCACCGTGAGACCCAACCCATTGCTGGCAGGAGTGCGATAAGAGACGGAGTGAGAAAAATCACAACGCTGATTACAGAAATGATTGCAGTTGATATGCAGCCATTGTCAATGGTGGAGGATGTCGGCTTCAATACCCTAATGGCATATCTAGAATCAGACTACAAGATGTCATGTGGAAAAACTGTGACGGCCCTGATGGAGAAATTGTACAATGATTACTCTGCAAGTACAAAGCACGAGCACTCAAACACCATATAAATAAAATCAAATGTTATTTGCCACATGTAGTGCCTTGCGGTTGGAGGCCGAGCAGTTGCCATAAAAGGCAGTGATGCAACCAGTTGGGATGCTCTCGATGGTGCAGCTGTATAACTTTTTGAGCATCTGAGGACCCATGCCAAATCTTTTCAGTCTCCTGAGGGGGAATAGGCGTTGTCGTGCCCTCTTCACGACTGTCTTAGTGTGTTTGGACCATGATAGTTTGTTGGTGATGTGGACACCAAGGAACTTAAAGCTCTCAACCTGTTCCACTACAGCCCCGTCGATGAGAATGGGGGCGTGCTTAGTCCACAATCACCTCCTCTGTCTTGATCACGTTGAGGGAGAGGTTGGGGGCGGCCCATCAGAAAGGCCAGGATTCAGTTGCAGAGGGAGTTGTTTAGTTCCCAGGGTCCTTAGCTTAGTGATGAGCTTTGAGGGCACTATAGTGTTGAACGCTGAGCTGTAGTCAATGAATAGCATTCTCATGTAGGTGTGCCTCTTGTCCAGTTGGGAAAGGGCAGTGTGGAGTGCAATAGAGATTGCATTATCTGTGGATCTGTTGGGGCGGTATGCAAATTGGAGTGGGTCTAGGGTTTCTGGGATAATGGTGTTGATGTGAGCCATGACCAGCCTTTCAAAGCACTTCATGGCTACTGACGTGAGTGATACGGGTCGGTAGTCATTTAGGCAGATTATCTTAGTGTTCTTGGGCAATGGGACTATGGTGGTCTGCTTGAAACATGTTGGTATTACAGACTCAGTCAGGGACATGTTGAAAATGTCAGTGAAGACACTTGCCAGTTGGTCAGCGCATGCTCAGAGTACACGTCCTGGTAATCCATCTGGCCCTGCGGCCTTGTGAATGTTGACCTGCTTAAAAGTCTTACTCACATCGGCTACGGAAAGCGTGATCACATAGTCATCCGGAACAGCTGATGCTCTCAAGCATGCTTCAGTGTTGCTTGCCTCGAAGCGAGCATAGAAGTGATTTAGCTCACCTGGTAGGCTTGTGCCACCGAGCAGCTTGCGGCTGTGCTTCTCTTTGTAGTCTGTAATAGTTTGCAAGCCCTGCCACATCCGACGAGCGTCGGAGCCGGTGTAGTATGATTCAATCTTAGTCCTGTATTGACTCTTTGCCTGTTTGATGGTTCGTCGGAGGGCATAGTGGGATTTCTTATAAGCGTCCAGGTTAGAGTCCCGCTCCTTGAAAGCGGCAGCTCTACCCTTTAGCTCAGTGCGGATGTTGCCTGTAATCCATGGCTTCTGGTTGGGGTATGTATGTACGGTCACTGTGGGGATGACGTCATCGATGCACTTATTGATGAAGCCAGTGACTGATGTGGTGTACTCCTCAATGCTATCTGAAGAATCCTGGAACATATTCCAGTCTGTGCTAGCAAAACAGTCCTGTAGCTTAGCATCTGCGTCATCTGACCACTTCCTTATTAACCGAGTCACTGGTGCTTCCTGCTTTAGTTTTTGCTTTAAAAAGCATGAATCAGGAGGATAGAATTATGGTCAGATTTGCCAAATGGAGGGCGAGGGGGAGCTTTGTACGCTTCTCTGTGTGTGGAGTAAAGGTGGTCTAGAGGTTTTTTTCCTCTGGTTGCACATTTAACATGCTGGTAGAAATGAGGTAGAATGGATTTAAGTTTCCCTGCATTAAAGTCCCCGGCCACTAGCAGCGCTGCCTCTGGATGAGCGTTTTCCTGTTTGCTTATAGCCTTATTCAGCTCATTGAGTGCAGTCTTAGTGCCAGCATCGGTTTGTGGTGGTAAATAGACAGCTACGAAAAATATAGATGAAAACTCTCTTGGTAAATAGTGTGGTCTACAGCTTATCATGAGATACTCTACCTCAGGCGAGCAAAACCTCGAGACTTCCTTAATATTAGATGTTGTGCACCAGCTGTTGTTTACAAATATACAGACCGCCACCCCTTGTCAGCCGTTCTATCCTGCCAATGTAGCGTATATCCCGCCAGCTGTATGTTATTCATGTCGTCGTTCAGCCACGCCTCGTGAAACATAAGATATTACAGTTTTTAATGTCCCGTTGGTAGGATATCCGTGATCGTAGGTCGTCTATTTTGTTTTCCAATGATTGTATGTTGGCTAATAGGACTGATGGTAGAGGCAGATTACTTGCTTGCCGTCGGATCCTTACAAGGCACCCCGACCTACGTCCACGATATCGCCGTCTCTTTCTCATGCGAATGATGGGGATTTGGGCCTTGTCGGGTGTCTGTAGAATATCCTTCGCGTCCGACTCATTGAAGAAAAAATCTTTGTCCAATACGAGGTGAGTAATCGTTGTCCTGATATTCAGAAGCTCTTTTTGGTCATAAGAGACGGTGGCAGAAACATTATGTACAGAATAAATTACAAATCACGCGAAAAGAACACACATAATAGCACAATTGGTTAGGGGGCCGTAAAATACATCTTGCATTGGATACATGGCATTAACAACAGATTGTTGGACGTCTATGAACACGCTGTCATACATCACTGCAACAAGCCATCACATGGATGAGAAGTGGGACATGTCCCATGTACTGACAACTGAGAACATGGAGGAGAGGGACACAACAGAGAACTGCATTAATACCATCGTTGTTGAGTGGGAGGGGGACAGCAATAAGGTGAGTGCCGTCTGGTAGGTAGCCAGGAGTGCGGTAGATTGAACTCAATTGCCCCCTAGCGGTCATACGCAGGACCATATCTGAATAGTGAATTCACTTCATTTTTTTTCTCTCACACCCCTAGTTTCAAATGCTAACGTTTTTGCATTTGTGGCACAAATGCAAAAATGAAGGCATAACTGCGGAAACACATTAGCCTGCCCGGCCGAAAAATAAAAAGGTGATATTAGGTGGTCTTTTTGTAAAAAATAAAATAAAAACATTTTGGAGTGCCGCCATTTCCCAATGTTCTTGAACTTGGGATTTCATTTGAAGTCATTGCCACATATGGCAGGGCACCCAGCTAATAAAGCTAGACAGCGCACTTCTTACCCACTCCTCAATGGTGCCTATATTAGCATTTTCGCATCATCTATAAGTAACATAATTGAGTTACACAATACATGTTTATATACTTTAAGATGATTTGTCGTAAAAATGCTAATATAGGTACCATTGACTTGCATTAGATTTGTGACACAAATGCTAAAAAATTAGCATTTGAAACAGTGCCCAACAAAACCAAAGCATGGATTGCTGTCATATCTCAAACTGGAAACCAATATGTAATTTTGTAATTTGGGTG